TCCACAAATTTTACAATTAAAATTTTTCAAACTTTGTTGCCATTTACCGTTTGAAATACAATCAGGACACGAAACCTTTGCTGCAATAAAGTTTGGTTCATGTATTGCAGATAATTGTGTTGTTTCAAAGTCAAAAACAATAATTAAATAAGACTCAAATGGTTTTGGTTCCAATGGTTTAATATAGCATCCACGTTTTTGATCATGAAATTCATTACATGTATTACAATGTTTTTCATTGCATACATGTCCTTTTCGTCCATTACGAGTGTTGTCATGGACATTCCAAATAACTCCACATTTGTTGCATTTTTTGGAGATTTTACAGAAACCATTAGTTAAATGTTGTTTGTAGCAATCATTATTATTAAAATTTTTAAAACATAATTTACAAAATTTGGAAAAAATGTTGTCGGGTTGGCAAGGAAATTGAGGACCGACACGAGAGCAGTTGATGCAGCGTGCTTTACAAGTGATAGAATGATGTTGGGCTTTATTGTAGACACACTTGCAGGAAAGGCAGTAATAAGTTCCAAATAATCTACCATTTTTCTTTACTGCATAAAAATGCTTTTCAGCATCATTATAATAAAGAAGAATTGGTGTGTCGTAATCTTCAGGTCCATATTCAAATTCGGGTTTATAATTGCCACGTTCACCGAATATAAAAACTTTAACAATACATTGATTTTTACAGTTAACGTTATTCCATTGATCAACTACACGTGGAATCCATTCATCAGCGTCGTATTCATTCAATCCAATTTGAGCCCCAACCTGATTCATTATTTCATATGTATCATTTTCAAAACGGCCAGACATTCCTTTTAGATTGTTAATGTAGTAAAAAAATTTTAAACGTGGCCAGTTGCATATATTTTGTATAATTGAAGCAATTAAGGCGAAAAATAGACAATGATTCATATTGTCAGGATTATTAAATTTTATCAGTGACCCTTTATTAATTTGATGTCGCACTTTTGGAATTTTACGAGCTGCACCACCAACAAGACGTCGTTTTTTGAATGAAATTTTATTTATTGTTGTTACAGTTATAGAAAATGGTGCGCCCCATAGAGTTAATTCGTCTTGCTTTTTACTTTGAGCGATGTGTTGACACCGATTAAGCATGGCGTCAACAATATTATTTGATATATTGCTGAAAAATTAATTATTTTTTTCTAAAAATAAAAAAGTACCTGAAAGGAACCCAGATATCATATTCTAAAAAGTCACTGGTTAACGTACAAGCTAATTGTTGGGGTTCAACATTATTTCCCTTAGCATGTTCCATAGCTTCATCAACACAAAATTGGAAAATTCCTGAAATTGGTAATTTATTGAAAAATAAGTTTTTAATTACCAGAGAGAAGAGACTCGGCATCGGCAGGAACATCCTTGATCATAAACTTTGAATACGTTTTTGTAACATTAAATTTTGAATTGTGCCATATTGAATCGTTTAATCGTTCAACATAGCGTTCAGCATTGTAGCCACTTCCCTGTTGTAATCCTAGAAGATTAGCAATAAAGAAGTTTCGAGAATTTTTTGAAAGTTGTTGCATTTTAATAAAATAATTTTTAGTAAGTTTTCAGTAACCTTTAACTGAATTACAAAAAAAAATATTATTGTAACAATGATATAAATTTAAAAAATTGCCGCTTTTATATGCAAAATCCTATACCAAATTCTCATTTGACATTATTATCGGAAGATTAATTAATTATGCGCGTTTCAATAATTCAATAATCAATTATCATGCATGTCAAAAAATAAGAACAAAAAAAAATTTTAAAATTTTTAATTAAATATGCATGTATGTCAAAAATAGTAAATAAAACTTTAAATTACTAATTAAATAAGTATTTATGTCAAATAATAAAAGTAAATTAAAATATTTAATTAAATATGCTTGCATAATGCTTGCAAATTATAAAAGATCAAAATACAATAAAATTCAAAAATCCAATTAAATATCCACAAGTAATAAAAATCAAAAATAAATTAAAAATTTTTTTAATAAATACGCACCAATCCATAAAGGATAAAAATTCAAACATCTTAATTAAATATGCAAACTTCAAAATGATTAGCTTTAAGAATAAAAAAATTGAATTAAATAAAATCTTTATTAGGCAATATGCCAAATCTATTTTATATAAATGAGAAAAAAGTGATAAAAATTAAAATGAGATATGGTGTAGTAGTTATTAATAATATTGAGCACGCGATAAATGATTAAGATACGTGAATTTTTCGAGAAAATTTTTAGGAAAATATTGAAATAATAATTTAGACAATGTTGGACAAAAATTTTAAAAATATATCGAAAAATTTTTCGAAAAGATAATATTTCGAAAAATAACTTCAACTAAATTAAACTTCAACTAAATAACTAATTATTTTCATAAAACTAAATTATATAATAAATTATTTAAATGATATAATATTTTTAAAAATGAACCCTTTTATAGACTAGCCCCTACACCAATTTTTTATGTTGTTTTAGTTTTAAGTAATTAATTATGCACGCATATCGTAAAAAGATCAAAAGAGAATTCAAATTTTTAATTAAATATGCATGCAGCCAAAAAAAAAAGATCAAAGGATTTTTTAAAAATCTAATTAAATATGCAAACATTATAAATCAATAAATGAAATTCGGCAAATCTAATTAAATATGTATGCTTTTAATAAAAAGATTAAAAGATTTTTTAAAAATGTAATTTAATATGCAACCTTTTTAGAATAATAAAATTTGGCAAATCTAATTTAATATGCATGCATCTAAAAAAGATCAAAGGGTTATTTTAAAATCTAATTTAATATGCAAACATTAATAAAATAATAAAATGGCAAATCTAATTAAATATGTATGCATCTAATAAAAAGATCAAAGGATTTTTAAAAAATCTAATTTAATATGCAAATCTAATTAAATATGCAACAAATTAGTAAAAAGATCAAAGGATTTTTGCAATAAATCTAATTTATTATGCAAATATGTCTAAATCGTAAAAATAAAATTAAGAAATATAAATGGTGAAATAAAAATAGAAAAAACTTGCCCATCTATTTCGAAAATAAATTAAAAGGGACCATCTTATTTGTAACAAATTTGATTTTTTATTAAAAATTTTAAAAAATTTTAGTTCATTGGCGTGATGATGATTAATAATGTGAATCATAAACAAATGTGAATCATAAAACTTTTAAGTAGAACAATCAACCCGGTTCATGGGCTAGACCGTTTCGACAAGCGAAGTCGTAATATAACTTTCTCATGGGTTTTGTTAGGAATGGTATAAAAGACCTCGATTTCGTGTAATCTTTAACCAAAATGTTTATCATAATATTATTCTTATTATTTTCCCTTGCTTCCTCTTCAAATTTATCTCTAGTAAATGATCCCAGATGGCAAGATATGTGGAAACAAGAGCCCTGTAGATGTCCAAAATATTTATTGAATCTACCTTTTAACATTACAGGACCTAAACCAGGAAGGTGTGAGTGTCCAATACATTTATTAAAATCATCCAGAGCGAATGCTGAAGACTTTGAATTTTATAGATTAACACCCTTTCGCCGCTATGGTATAAAAAGATACAATGATAGTTTACAAATAGATGAATTGAACCAAAATATTAAGATTGCAACAATCCCTCATGTAGTAAATTACTCTACCAGTTTTAATTATCTAATATATTCAAAATGGTGGTTTATACCGTATTTGTTCACTTTTACATAGAAAAATAAGGAAAAATTTTACTTCACGTCTAATAATCTTGATTTAGCATAAAATGAGACAGAATGGGAAATAAGTTGATTAATTTAATCTCCAAACATTTAAGAATTTAAAAAATTTAAGATTTTTTTGAAAATTTTTTAATTTTTTGTAAATTATTTATATTTTATTTTCATTTATTCAAACCATTTCACAAAATATTTTAAAACTATTTTTTCTCGATGAATTAATTATAAGAGAAGCGACGCCATTTTAAAAAAGAGAAGCAGCGCCATCTTTTTAAATTTGACTAATTTAATATGCATGTATGTTAAAATAGTTTAAAAGCTTTAAAAAGAAAAAATTGCAATAAAAAATGTTCCTCTGTAGCTTAGTAGGTAGTAGTTTTGATTCGGAATATTCATTAGTTGTCACGGGTTCGATCATGTTTAGGGATAATTTTTAAAGTTTTAGTTTAAAATATTAAAAAAATATTCTTCAGACCCTTCCCCCGACACCTTGGAACAAACTGCTTTTGTCGGCAGGATCAAAGAAGAAAAAGGTGTGAAAATTAACGCCTTAAAATTGTCAAATTTGGTTTTATCGGACCCCTCCCCCAATAATTTGGATAAATGGGCTTTATCGGCAAGATCAAAGAGAAAAAGGTGTGAATTTTACACCTTAAGTTTGTCAATTTTGATTTCGTCGGACCCTTCCCCCGACACCTTGGAACAAGTTGGCTTTGTCGGCAAGATTAAAGAAAAAAAAAGGTGTGAAAATTAACACCTTAAAATTGTCAAATTTGGATTCGTCGGACCCCTCCTTCGACACCTTGGAACAAGTTGGTTTTGTCGGACCCTTCCCCCGTCACCTTGGAACAAACTGGTTTTGTCGGCAAGATCAAAGGAAAAGAAGTGTGAAATTTCACACCTTGACGATTTACCGCACTCCTAGTGCGGTAAATCCTAGTGCGGTAATTTGCTTTAGTCGGACCCCTTTCCCAACACCTTGGAACAAATTGGTTTTGTCGGCAAGATCAAAGAAACAAAAAGGTGTGAATTTTCACACCTTGAGGATTGTCGGCAAGATCAAAGGGGAAACAATTTGGGATTGCGGGAAAGCGGCAAGATCAAAGGGACCCCTTCAAATCCTTTTGGAATGTCCCCTAAAATCCACTGACTCCGCCCCCAACCCCTTCAAATCCTATAGGAATATTTGCGGACCCTTCCTCATCCTTTAGGAATGTGCGGTAAAAAGGGAAACAAAGTGGGGTGGTTAACTACTAAGGGGAAAATTTTGATCCAAATTGGCGGGGAAATGGCGGCGATGTGGGGTCCCATTCTTTCTAATTTGAAGTTTTTGTATTAAGTATTTAATGAATTGGGCGCATGATATTCTGTTAAATAATACATACTTTGTTGATTTTCCTCTAACTTCAAAGAATTGACATGAGGTGCACGCCAGAGGTTGGTCGGAATTCCGATTTTTTCCGACGTTTTTCGACCAAATTCGCCTCCCGATATCCAACCTAATCCAATTATGCACCATAACTTGCCGCTCTACATCCCTGTTGACCATTTTAATAAATGTTATTTGTTGACATTTTATTTTATGGCATTTTATCGTCTGGCATTTCCGATTTCCGAATATTTAGGCTGATTTCCGACTTTTTAAGCCATTCCGATTTCCGGCACCTTCGTCATTTCCCTTGTTGACCCACCTCTGGTACATATAAATAAGGGAAGAGAATATATTTTAAGAGAAAGCGAAAGAATATTATAAAGAATAACTTTAATTTTAGAAATTTTTTAGATAGAGGGGAAAGTCAACAGAAGTATGTACATATATAAATATACTATATTTGTTAACTTAATTATCTATTTGTAAATGGGTGTTCTAAAAAATTAATTCCCGTTTTAGTCCGTATTTTCTTGAATTTCAAAATGCTGACAAAAAAATTTTCCTAAAATGCTTTCCTTCAGTTTATTTATTTTAAAATTATTTTTAATAACTATTCATGTAATATTTACAAATTATTCCCGGCTTTTACATAGGAGTTGTTAATTTTAAAATTTCATAATGCCAAATTAATTTTTATTGCGCCAAGAAAATTATTTAAAAGCAATGTAGATCCCATATTCCCCAAAAAGATTTTTGTTGGAATTTATTTAAAAATAATTATTTCGAAAAAGCTAATTTTTAATTAAAAACAACTTTATTAAAGTTTTATTAAAACATTTTAAATTCTGACAACATGTTTAATTCTAAAATCATTTCTTAGCTTTATTTCGGATATTTTCATTTTAGAAAGAATTTTAAAGTTTTGAGCTAAAAAATTTAAAAAAATGTATAGAGTATAGTAAATATTTGTGCAATAAAATTCATGAACCTTAAATACTATTTAAGACAATTTTTAAGTTTGGAAAGGAAAGTATAAACAAATATAAACAGTACATAATTAATTAATTAAACTTTAATTTTTTTATTATGCTTTTAAAATTCTTCTTTCTTTTTAGATTTCTCTCTTTTTTTTGCTCATTTATTTAAAATATTTTCTTTTAATTTATTCAATAAAAATATGGAAGAAGAATTTATAAAAGAAGATAAAGAAAGTATTGAAGATGTTGGGGAAGGTGAACCTGAAGAAGGTGAAATTATGGATGATGAAGAAGAAAAAAATCAGATAATAATTAAAAAAGAGGAAAAACAACAAAAAGAAATAAAACAAAAAATATCAGAAACAGAAAAAATAAAAGAAAATAAAGAATCGTCTCCAAATCATTCTTCTTCGTTACAATCTTCTGAACAACAAATAAAATCTGAATTTCAAAGAGGAAGTAGTTCTTGGCGAAAATGTAAAAAATTTTTTTGGAAAAATTATAAAGATAAATAAAAATTTAAATTTATTTTTTAGCTTTCGGTTTTTCTGGCGGTCATCATGGGGGAAGTGGACGTGGTTCAATTGGTAGTAGTAGATTTTCAAGGGGTGGGAATGATTCAAATGCTCGTTATCGTGATTTTGATGGACGTGTTGCAATGGTAGAGAATTGGGGAGGGGGGGGGGAGGGGTTGAGTAAATTTCGAGGGAAAATTGAGTTGATAAACTTCGAGGGAATTTTTTAAAAAAAATAATGAAAATAATGAAGAGAAATAATAAAAATTAAAAAATAAAAAAGAAATTTAGAAATAAATGAATATTTATAAAAGAAATGAGGGAAAATAAAATCGAGAGAAAATATTTAATTATAAAAAATAATTAGTAATTATTGGGGGAAATTTTTAAAAAAATATATACCTACATGAAATACAAAATTATTTAAAATTTTTCTTAGAGAAATAATGACCAACAAGAGGAAGAAATGCTTGATTCTTGGAATGCTTGTATTCGTGGAAGTATTCATAATCCCCATCATTATAATTCTCGTCGAGGAGGTCGAATGAATTCCCCATCTGGTGGAGGGGATATATCCCCAATTAGAACATCACCAATGATCGAAGAAGACGAAGAAAAAGATTTTAGTAAATCCTCAGAACAATCGCCATTAAAAAAACAAACAGAAATTCCTGTAACCCAACAACAACAAATTGATGATGATAAAGATTTTAGAGGAATAGATTCTAATACAATTGAAAGTCCATCTCCACAAAATAAACAAAGTCCTCATCATCAACATTATTCAGATGATAATGATTTTCGACGTTCTTCTATTCATCAATCACATTTTAATCGACAAACTTCACCTTCACTTGGATTCTCAGAAGAGAGACAATTTGAAGGAAATAAAAGGTAAAAGAGAATGAGAGAGAGGGAGAGAGGGGGGAACAATAAACTGAAAGTCCTGCAGAATCCGGGACAGTGCAATAAATTTGAGTTGCTTACTAATTAACAAATAAGCCATAAACAACAATAAAATACGGCATTGTTGGGTAATAGTGTCGTTTCCAGTCCCCATTTTTTCCTCCCAATTTTTTACCCTATGTTTGTACGGAATGGTCAAATTTTCCCCTTTCTTTCACCAAATTTGCCTTTCCATATTTTGCCTAAAAACAATAAAAAAGATTAATTTTTTATTCAGTTCTTTCACAAGGAGAAACACCAAGCATGGAAAATGTTTTCTGGCTATTATAGAAGGAAAAAGAAGTCTTTTTGATTGTTTTTAGGCAAAATATGGAAAGGCAAATTTGGTGAAAGAAAGGGAAAAATTTGACCATTCCGTACAAACATAGGGTAAAAAATTGGGAGGAAAAAATGGGGACTGGAAACGACACTATTACCCATTGTTGTTTATGATATTAACCTTTCGGGCTTGTCAGGAGTTGAAATTATTGTTAAATAATTATGTATAGCAAATTATTTCTGTTTATTTTTGACCAATCTCTCAAACAATTTTTTAATCAAAATTTAACATTTTATTTAAAATTTAGACGTCATTGTTCACAAAGTCCACCAGTTAATATACAAGCCAGATCACAATTCCCGCATGAATCAGAAGATTTTGATACTCCTTATGGAAATGCTGCAAAACGTTATCGTCCATTTTATGGGAGTGGGGGGCCGCCCAGTGGAGACGGATTTGCACAAAAAGATGAAAACTTTGATGTAAATTTTCAATTTTTTCTCTAATTTTTTATAATTTCCATTTCAGAATTTTCCTCCATACGATGAAAATGGTCCTTGGTCTTCTCGGCCACACAGAGGTGGCGAGGAAGGGGATTTCCCTCACCAATTTTATTCTGGAGGAGATAGAGGTGGAAGAGGAGGGCGAACACAAGGATGGGGTTATAGAGGTGGACGTCCATTCTTTCCTCGTTTAATTTGCAAATTCTTCCGTGAGGGGTTTTGTCGTGATGGTGATCAATGTACTTTTAGTCATTTAACTGGAGATTCTCATCGTCGACCAGAATTATGTAGATATTACCAACAAGGATATTGCAAAAAGGTTTTTGTATTTATTTTTATGTAAATATTTGGAATTTTGAAGGGACTTTTTTGTCAATTAATGCATGGTGAATGGCCTTGTAAAGCTTTTCATAAAGGAGAATGTTCTAAAGAACAATGTACTTTTTCAAATTTTTTTTTAAATTTTAATTATCAATTTTTAAAGGTTCTTTCTCTCACGAACCTTTGGATGATGTTAGCAGACCAATTATGGACAAAGTAAGTATTTTACTGAATTTTTTATATTTTTATTTCAATAAAGATACTCGAAGAAGAAAAACTTGGATTAACACGTCCACCACAACAACAGCATCCACGTTTTGATGTCCCACAACAACAAACTCCACATATGGGTAGAGGTGTTCGTCCATTTTTTCGTCCACGCTTCCAAGGGCCCTATCATGAGCAAATTGGTGGTCAGAATTTCCCCCAATCGCAAGGCCCACAGGCACCTCAGGTATTTTTTAAATTTATTATTTTATTTTTAAATAAATATTAGCGACAATTTCATCGTAATCCACATCAACAAATTGGGTTGGGTGCTCCACAGCCACCTCAACAACATCAACAGCAGCCATTCTTTAAAAAGCAACAACATCCAATGAGTGAAAGTTCTGCTCCTAGACATCCACTTTCACCTGAAAATTTACATCAAGGATCTTCTGAAATAAAGTAATTTATTTTTTTTATTTTAACAATTAATTTTAAGTATGCTCAATGAGGAAACTGGAGGAATATGTTTGCAGCAACAACAACCATCAATTCCTCCACCTGGACTTGTTATGCCTCCGCCCCTAGGTTATTATTAAATTTAATATGATTCATATATAGGTATTTAGATCTTTCTAATAATTTTAATTATTACAAATTTCATTTAAATTAATTACAAATGTTTAATATAATTTTAAATTTTACGGTGGTGGAAGTCCTCTTCCTTTGCCTGCTAGTTCATCATCGTCGGCTACTTTTGGGTTCTTCAATCCAGTATCGACACAAACAACACCTTCCAATCAACCTCCCCAACAATCACAACCTCCTCCATCATTTCAACAATTACAACAACAAGTCCATCAAGTTGCTGGTCCACATTTTCCTCATCAGCCTTCTTTGCTTGGTCCTTCGAGTGCTGCTGCACAGGCACAAGCAATGCTTACAGCAATTCTTCAGCAGTCACAACAGACTGGGTCTACGGTAGGATATTTTATCCAATTTTTATTTTTATGTATTATAATTTTTGTTTGTCTAGGTATTTTTAATTCTTCGTTTATTAAAATTAGAGACCGGATTTTATGCATTATAAATGCATTATAAATTTTGCATTATAAAATTAAATTTTTTAAGCAGTCAGCAAAAGGAGCTTTTCGAGATAATTCATTACAACGTTCTCCTCCACCACCTCCTCCTCCAAAAAAGAAAGAAGTTTCTCAATCAAATATTGAAGATCAACAACAATTAATTACAAAAACAGAAATAGAAGAAATTGAATTAAAACCAGCAACAAATACTGGAGGATTTAATATAAACCAAATGCTTGAACAAATAACTAAACAAAATAGCCCTCCCCCTCCACAACCACCTATTGCCATAACAAATATTAAACGAGAGGAAACAAATACTTTGGATTTACTTGCAAATGTTGAACTTTCTGATTCAACAACAAATATTGTTGAAGGTTTTTATAAAAATTATTTTAAAAATTAAAAAGCAAAAATATAAACGAAAACTCAAATAATTTAGTAATTTTTTTATACTTTTTTTAAACAAATATTCAAAAATTATTTTTGTTTTAATTTGAAGAGTCACCCGCTTCTCCTGTTTTTGCTTCTGAACAACAACAAGAAAATGAAGATAAACCTGCAGCTTTAATTCCAGTTGTTCGTGAATGGAAATTACATTTAGTTGATTTATCACCATTAACTGAGTGTTCTGATATGCATTTTGATATAAAATTAGTTCAGGTATATTTTTGTTTAAATTTTAAATATTTTTGAGTTTAGCAAATTTCTTCATCTAATTCTGATCCACGTTTACGAAAAATTGCAGAAAAACAATTTGATTTAGTTTCGAAAACATTGGAACAACAACAAGCAAATCAACAAAAAAATAATTTTAATGAAGGAATATTCACTCCAACAGAACAAATTAAAAAGGAAATTGAAAAACGTGAAGCTATCGGTGATGTAAATTATGAAACTGGGTTGCAAGATCCGCGTACAAAAGACCCTCGAAGAAAGCGGGAAATATCTGGGTAATTTTATTTAATTTTTTCATCAAAACAAAGCGACATTAATAAAACCTTAAATTTTAGAATATCTTCAACATCTTCTTTAGATGAGGCGGAATTAGTTAAAAAGCAAATGGCTGCATTAGAGGCAGCTGCTAAACAACAGCAGAATTGTGAACAATCCTCTCAATTGTTTTCAACACAATTAGGTATTCGCCAACAATTGGGGTTACCTCCACCTAATATAAACTTTCAATTACCACCACCACCTGCTTTTTTACCTGGTAAATTATTTAACTTTTTTTAAATAAAAATATATTCTAAAGGAAATTCAATGGGAAATCAATTTTTTACTGTTCCCCCTCCACCTCCTCCCTTTCCATTGCAACAACAACAACAATTACCACAAAATTTTTCTACGCCTCCCCCATCAACATATCAACAAATCAATCAAATTGTAACATCTTCCCATCAAAACTTAGAAGCTCAAACATTTAATACTGAACAATTACCTTGTTCTTCTTCAATTGATCCATCTAAATCTTCAAATAGTCCTTTCGAAAAAATACATTCAGAAACTTCGTCTTTTCCATCATATCAATATTCTAGAGGTTATTTCGGCAATAATGAACCTGACAGGCCCTATTTCCTCCCCAAGTTTTTTTTCTATATATTTACAGAATGGTCAGACTTCTACCTCTCTTCAATCCCAATTTTCCTTTCTTCCTTCCAAGGGGGTATAAAAATTATTTCTTTTTGATTCTTTGTAGGCAAAATATAGAAAGGCAATTGGGTTGGAAAAAAAAAGTAGGAAAATACTTGGGGATGAAAAAATGGGTCTGTCAGATTCAATATTACCGTTATTTTTTTCTAAAATTTTTTAAATTATTTCTTAAGGTTATCGTGGAAGGCGTGGAAGATATTCTACTAATTATCACCACCACCACCACCAACAACATTATCGAGAATATAATCAACAGAATATTAGAAGGTCAGAATCTCCCCCAAAACAACAACAACAAGAAGAAAATGTTTCTACTTCATCAACTATCAGCCTTCGAGAAAAACGAAAAAATAATGAATATGAATCGCCATTAGCTAGAATGGCTAATAATAGATATTGACTGATTTATAAAAAAATAAAAGAAAAATTTAATAAAAATAATTATTATTTCTTTTTTTTTGATTTGGAATTTTTACTTTAATCAATGTTTTTATGTACTTATTTGTAGCAAAACATTGAATTATTCAGACCTGGTCATGGATACGGATATGGATACAGATAATATCAAAATGCCTGCGGATATGCGCCTGTATCCGCCGTAAATATCCGGATACGGATACTAAGATCAGTATCCGTGACCAGGTCTGGAATTATTTAATTATATTTTTATTGTTTTTTTTTGCCGGTAAAATACTCTTTTTGTTTATTTAAATGATTAATTATTGGTAAATTAATTAAAACCATTTTTTATTTTTCATTTCTCTTCAAAAATTTTCTTAAAAAATATTTTTTAAATTTCAATGGATGTTCCACAAATTGACAGAAATGCTGTTATTTTTGAATTACTTCCACCTTCTTTAAGAGACGAAAATTCGTCAATCGCTGCCGATAATTCTGAAGACGATAAGTTTTTTGAAATTACGGCACAGGATGTGGCGAATATGCAAAAACTTTTGACTGAAAAAAGGTTTTTTTTGAAATTTAAAAATGAAAATATAAATTTATTTTTTAAATAGTAACAATGAACAAGCATTAATTCCTCGAAAATATTTGGAAGAACAAAACAAAAAACAACGTGAAAATGCTTGGAAGAATTGTGTTATTCGTTTTAAACTTTTTGGAAAATATATAATACAAGCATTATTTTTATCTATTGAACCAGGTTTCTTTAAAAATAATTTTAAAATAAAATAATAATTTTTTTTAAAGTTTCTAATATTTTTGCTTTTTTAATTAAACATTTATTTATTGGAGAATTTCAATTAAAATATTTAATGAAGAAATTGGAAAATAATCAAATAAATCTTTTAAATTCAAATATTGCGCCTAAAGCTTGTATTGTTATACATCCAATTAATAATTTAATTAATTTTAATTCTTTGGATGAATTGTTAAAAAATACAAAGAATATTAAAAATATTTCTGAAGAAGAAGCTGAATTAATTAGTAATCAATGGTTGGTGTTTTTTTGTTTTTTTTAATTTATTTAGAGGTTTTTTTAATTTATTTATCTTCCTATAATCATTTTCCTGTCGAACAATTATTAAGTCTAAAAAGTCTTGCTTTTCCCCTTTTTTTAATCTTTATGAGAGGAGAAAGAAGAAAAAGGAAAACATTTGCATACATGTGGAGAGCTAACCGAATACATAGTACCTTTTCAAAAATAATTTTCTTTATTTTTAGGTTATCAAATAATTCAATTTACCAACCACAAAATTATTTAATTGGAGAAAACAATTTAATTAAAAATATTCAAGAAGAAGACAATTCTCAATTAGATAAGGATATTATAAAACGAAAAATTGCAAGAGAAAATGCTCCTTGTTTGCCAAAATGGTTTAAAAAGAAATAAAAATATTTTTATTTAAAAATTGTATTTAATTTAAAATTTTATTTTAAAATAAAAAATAAATAATTATTCTCTTTAAATTGTTTTTGTTTTGTTTTCCCTTTTATGGCAGCAATTCTCAAATGTTAACAATAAGTACTACTACTAAATTACTAAATAGATCGATATAACTATTTTGATAATCGGAAGGAAAAAAAGATTACATATTTAAGAATTAAAAATATATTTTTCCCTTTCCCTCTCCCTTTTTTGTTTAAAAAAATTTAAATAATTTTTTAAATAAAATTGAAATATTATTTTTTTCCAAAAATTTAAAAAATTTGTTAATGACTAATAATCATTCACAAATTATCCGTCGAATTGCTAGACGTTCAAGTAAGTTAAAAGAAAATTTAATAAATAAAAAAGTTTTTATTGGATTAATTTTAATATCTGGATCCGAAAAAAGAACCGGATATCCGGATTGGATATACGGGGATTTCCGAGGGTATGCAAACCTTACACATCAATCCTGTCAATGCTGGTTCACTTTCAGCCTCAATAAATAATCTTTTTACATTACCTGAAAGAGAAATACTTTGTTAAATTATTATTAGATATTCGGCGTGTTTTTCAAAGATTAATTAAAATATTCAAAACACATTTACTTTTATCTTTAACTATTTCTTCTGTTTTTGTTGGATTAATTATTGGATTTGCTTTACGTGGAATGAATTTAAGTCAGGAATCTGTGCGATTAATTAATTTTCCTGGTTTTTCTTTTGTTAAAATTATTCAAATTTTTCCTTTTTTGAAGGAGAAATATTTATGCAAGTTTTGAAATTAATGATTTTACCTTTAATTTTTTCTTCTCTTGTTTCTGGTTTTTTCAATTTTCTCTTTTTTCTAAAAATTCCTTTGTATTAAGCATTAGCACAAATGGATGCTAAAGAATCGGGTCAAATGAGTTTATTTACTGTTGGGTATTATGTAATAACTACTTTATTTGCTACTATGGTAGTTAATTTGAATTATTAATTTAAATATCTAAATTAAAGACAGGTATTTTACTTGTTTTGGTTATTCATCCAGGTGATCCAGCAATTAAACAAGAATTGGCTTATTTAGAAATTCAACATAATCCAATTTCCCCTTTAGACACATTTTTAGATGTTATTAGGTAAATTAAAGGGAGGGGGGGAAAGAGAAGAATATATTTTAATTAAGGAATATGTTCCCAGAAAATGTAATTCAAGCAACAATGCAAAGAACACAAACAAAATATTATTTTCCATTAAATAAAAAGACTGGAAATAAAAAACAAGACAATTTTTCCCAAAATAATGATTTTAATTTAATTTATAGGAAAAAAATAGAAAATATAAATGGAATGAATATTTTAGGTTAATTTAAAAGGGGAAATTAAATAAATTTAAATTAAAAAAGGAATTATTGTTTTTTGTACTGGATTTGGAATTGTTATATCTCAATTGGGGGAAAGGGCTAAAATTATTGTTGAATTTTTTATTATTTTAGAGGTAAAAGAAGGAAAAATAAAAATTATTTTAATTAATTTAAAAAGGCAGTAATAATGCAATTAGTTGGTATATTTATGTGGTTAACACCTTGTTTGTTTTTTCTTAAATTAAAAAATTAATTCTTTTTTAAAGTAGGAATTGTTAGTTTAATTGCTGGAAATTTACTTGAATTAACAAATGTAAATTTGAAATAAAATTAAAATTATTTTAATTTTATTTAAATTTAAAGTTAAGCGATACAGCAGCAATTTTACTTCTTTATGTTTTTACAGTTTTAAGTTCTTTATTTATCCACACATTTTTAACAATGCCGCTAATTTATTTTTTGTTTACAAGAAAAAATCCTTTAAAAGTTTTTTTTAATTAAAAATAAATAAATTTAAAATTAAAAAAGGTTGCTAAAGGGATGTTACAAGCTTTGGTTACTGCTTTTGGAACGGCGTCTGGAGGGGCTGCTTTGGTAAAAGAAAATAATTTTTTTAGTTTATTCGGTTTATTCATTCCCCTCCCCCCTTCCCTCCCTTATAATAACAAAAAAGAGGGGAATTATTTAATTAGAGAAAATTTATTTTAAATTTGTTTAAATAATTAATTTAAATTTAAAAAGCCTGTTTCGATGCGTTGTATGGAAGAGAATTTAAATATAGACAGTCGAATTACTCGTTTTGTACTTCCTTTAGGTTCAACAATAAATATGGTTATTAAATTAATTAATTAATTTAAAAAAAATTAAAAAAGGATGGAAATGCTTTATACGAAGCTGTTGCTGTTATTTTTATAGCCCAATTAAATAATGTTACTTTAACTTTGACAGAAGTAATTACTGTTAGGTAATTAATATATTTAAATTTAATTAATTTAATTAAAAAAACAGTTTTATAGCCACAATAGCCTCTTTAGGTTTAAATTCTGTCCCAGCCGGTTTAGTCTCTATTTTTGTTATTTTATCAACTGTTGGTTTGCCTGTAAAAGACATTCCTTTAGTAATTACTGCAGATTGGCTACTTGATAGAATTAGAACGAGTATAAATGTTTTGGGGGATGCTTTTGTTGCTTCGACTGTTAGTCATTATTTGGAAGTAAAATTAAAAGAAACTAACAATAAATATATTAAAAATGAAGAAAAAAGAGAAGAATTTACTAATGATTTAAAAAAACAATTAAATAATCCTTTAAGTAGTAGACATCATTCACAAGATAATAATACACAAGTAAATAAATATATTTTGTTTTTAATTTTATTTATTTTTTTTAGTTAATTAGCTGGCAAGAACAAGCAATGATTGACAGATTGTGCGGAGATATTACTTTAAATAAAGTTATTCATATTTAAAAATTGTTTATTTTATTTAATCTTCCAATAAATTTTTTTAAATTATTTTTTCCTCTCAATTACATTTTTTGGTGTGTAGATAACTTCTTCCATCTTTTTTTTTAAAAAAAGCGTGTATTTATTTGTTTGTGTGTATTAAATAGTTGTGATTGAACGATTTTGTTAGGAAGAAGAAAAGGATTATTAGCTCGCCACCATTTTTGTGATGGTCAATTGAATTGAATAAATGGATGGATTGGGGGAGAGGATGGATGGATATATTTTTATTTATTTTTGTCTAAATATTTTTTTATTTTCATCCACAAAAGAAAATAAAGACGATCAAAAAACTAAAAGAAGATAATCATTTAATGTTTTGGAGGAGGATAAATTAGTGGAACAGGAAAAAAAGTGAGAGAGAAAGGCCAGTAAATTGGACAGAAGAAGAAAATGGTTTGAATAGTGGACAACAAACAAAACAAAATTTATTTTGGTAAATTTTGGAAATTTATAAAAATAAATATATTTTTAAGTAAAAAAAGAAAATGTTCTTCTTCTTTTTATTTTTGTTAATCAAAACATTAAATATTTATGCCCAAAAAGAAAATAATATTTTTTCTTCTTCTCAACCACCAAATATTAATCAACAACAATATCCAGATATTTCCCCTTTACTTTTTGTTTGTTTTAATTAAAAATAAATTTAATTTTAATTTTTAAAGCAAAATACAAATATCGGGAATGGAGGGTTTTTTGTTAGAGTAATGCCTACAGGATTGGCTTATTTGAGAGAAATTGGAATGAAAGTAGTTAATGATGAAATATTTAAAATTAAGTATAAATTAATTAAAATTAAATTTAAATTAATTTTCTTTTTTCAAAGTTTACCAACAATTACAGAAACAATTGATTCTGGACAAGTAATTTAAATTTAAAAATAATTTTAAATAAAAAAGGTTTCAATATTTGGTGCTTATGTCTCAAAATATTGGCCCCCAGTAGATTATTCTTTAGATTTAATTACTCCAGATACTTTTACTTGGAGAATGAGTAAAATGCATTTACGGTAGTTTTAGAGAGGGAAAAAGGAAAAAATAAATCTTTTTTAAAGTTCAAATGGAAATTTTGAGGCTCGTTTAAATGGGGCTTTACTTTTACCTTCTGTGCCTATACAAGGTATTTTTAGAGGGGAGATAAAATAAATTAATTTTTATTTATTTTAAAGGCCAATTTGAATCATTACTTGGACATTTAAGTTTAAGTATTTCTGTTAAAATGTTTAGGTTATTTTAAATTAAATAAATTAAATATTTTAATTTTAAATTAGTTAGAAATTTACAAGGATCCCCCCAAGTCCAATTACTTTTTTGTGCTGCCCAAGTTGGCTATGTTGATTTAAATGTTCGAAATAGTGGGGTTATTACTGATTTTTTTATAAGTAATTATTAATTTATTTTTTAATTTAAAATTTAAAATAATTATTTATTTTTTAGATACTTTTAAAGCATTTTTAATTGCACATTTTAAGGTACTAAATTTAAAAAATATTTTTATTTAATTTTTAAAATAGCCAACAGTAGAACAGCGTATATGTCAAATGATTGAGGGAATAATAAATAATGATTTAAATTCAATACTTTTAACAATGCCTTTAAAAATTAGAATAAATGAACGTCAATTAGATTTAATTGGAAAAAGTTTTGGAATAAATACAGAAGAAAATTTAAATAAAAAAAGAAGAAATCGACGACAAAGAATTCCCCCTTCCCCAAAACCTCCCCCTCCAAAACAACATCAATTATTTAATTCTTCCTCTTCTTCTTCAATTAATTTATTAAAAGAAGCATTTCCCTCCAATTCTTCTTTACTTAATTTTATTTCAAATTTACAAAATAAAAATTTAATTTTAAATTTTGCATTAATTGATAGTCCTTTTGTTAGTCAAGTAAATTTAAAATTGATAATTTTAAAAATAAATTAACAAAAAAGGGAACTATAATGATAAAATCTTTTGGAGAAATTTCATTTAACGGAATTGGAGAAACTCCTTTTTTTGCTCCGAATGTTTTAATCCCTCAACCACAAGGTGTGCATATGGCTGAATTTTTTGGGACTGATTATATTGGTTCTAATTAATTGTTTTTAAATTAATTAATTTTTTAAAAGCTAATTCAATGCTTTATCATGCATATAAACAAAAATATATGGATATTATTGTTGGACCTGAAGTAAATAATTTTTAAAAATATTTCTCTTCATTTACCTCATATTTTTTGACCATTTATTTTTTTTTAAATCCTTTCCAAAATTTCTTTTTAAAATCTTTTTAATTTTAAAGTCATCACCTCGTTTAAAAGATATATTAAAAACAACTTGCCAAACAGGTTTTTGTATTGGAGAATATTTAGGTTCACTAGGACATCAATTCCCCGACAGAGAAGTTGAAATTCATTATTCTGCCAAAAAAGCCCCAATAATGGTTTTCGTGGAAGGAAAGGCTCGTTTTAGATTACACGGAAAAATGGATTTGGTTAGGCAGTTCTTTAAATTTAAAATAAATAATTTAAATAATTAAAGTTTGTACGTCCAAAAAATATTACACAACAAAAAGAACAAATTCTTCGTTCAGAAACTACATTAACTTCTAATGTTAATTTATGGATAGAAGTAAATAAATAAAAATACTTTCCTCTAATTATTTTTTAATAGAAAACACAAATATTGGGAAATGCAAGTGTCGAAAATTTAGATTTTCGTTTAATTGAGGCAAATATTCACGATGTCGACCAAAATACATTTGGAGATTTGGGACTTTTTGGAGCTGAATTTTTAGAAAAACTTTTAACAGAAATACTTCAAATGGGGTTAATATTGCCTTCAATGAAAGGAGTTGTTTTGAGAAGTCCAAAGTAAATTTAAATTTATTTAAATTTAAATTTAAAAAAAGATTATCAATTCACGAACGTTATGTTAAAGTACAAACTTATTTTAAATTGGATGAATTATATGCTAAAAGATTGGTACAAGGAGCTGTTAGACAAACATTATTAAATATTGGACGTTAATTTAAATTAATTTATTTATTGGAGATTTTAAACTAGAATCTTTATTAATTTTAAAATATATTAAAATGCTCTAACATAAAAATATTTTAGAGCAATAGAAAAAATTGTGACGCGAAATTTGCGGACCCCAAGAAACGAGGATTGAAAATTTATTTATTTTGGAAATTTTTTAGATTAGCCTAGAGGGCAAGTGTTTGGAAATTTTCAAGTACTCGCACTCCGTGCATAACTTATTTTTCCCGATTATTCGTAAACAAGTACGAGTATCAATTTTGCTACAAACTTCCAAACACTTCCCAGGGTAGAGCCAAAACGGATACCCGATTAAGACAAATTTCGGGTCTCGCAAATTTCAGCGTGCCTACAAATTCCATTTATTTAAAATTCTTCTTATTATCTTCATTGTGTGAAGGTATATTTAATTGGCTTTTAGCACAAACCCACAAAGCATCAAGTAAACGTGTTAACCCTGTATCTTTTGGGCGTTCCAACCCTCTCTGTTTTCTTTGTTTCATAATTAAAATAAATTCTTTCTGAGACAATTCCCCATCCTTTAAATATTTTTAATTTAAATTAAATTTATTTTTAAAATTTTACCCCATTTTCATCAAATAATGTCACAACTATATCAACAACTGTATCACTTAATTCAACATTTGTTATTTTACTAGCCACTCTCTACAAAAAGAATTAAAAAAAATATTTTAATTTAAATTTAAAAATTACTTTAATTAATTCTTTAGAAAGTGGTTTTCCTGCTAATTTGTAAAAATGTAAAGCCAAATCAACTTTATCAATATGATAAATAAAAGCAAAAAAATTATCAACTTCTTCAAAAGAAACACCCTTTTAATTAAAATAATTTTTAAAATATTTATTAACTCTTCACATTTTTTTCTTTCATTTTATTTTCAAAATTGTTAAATTTTATAAATTTGAATAATCCAAGTAATTAAAGTAAATTAGTTATAAAGTTCTGAACCCAAATTTTTATATTTTGACGATTAATGTTCCGAAAAAATCTTTGTTTCCAACATTCCGTGACAAATTACGTTAATCATTTGTATTTTTTAGGAGAAAAGAAAGAAAAAATGCGAGAATAATTGAATACTCTAATTTAAATATTTACCTTTTTATTAATTATTTCTTTCCTATATTTACGTTTTACACGTTTAAGCATTCTTTTTTGCCGTTTTTCTGGTAAATCAGAATGTATCATTAACAATTGAGCAAATGAGACCTTTAGAAAGGAATTTTAAATAAGAAATAATTTTTTAAAAATAACCTCTGATATAATTCCAACAGGGTCAGATTCTGGATCTCTTCTTTCAAATTCTATCTAAAAATAAAAAAATATATATATAAATTCATTTTTTATTTTTACCTTTAAAATATCATAATGTAAATTCTTCTAAAATAAATATATTTTATGAAAGAATATTTTTTAAAAATTTACTTGAAATTCTAAAAATTCATCAATATTTAATTTTTGTAAATTATCATAACCAAAAAAATGTCTTGTAATTGCCTAAAAATTAATTAACTAAAATTTTCAAAAAATTACCGAATGTTTTCCCGATTTTGTAAAAGTTCCAGTCCCAGTAATGTGATCTCTATGTCTTTGTCCAATATTTGATTGACTTAAAATTAATTCTTGAACACGTTCAAATTCCTTTAAAAAATTCCTTTCCTTTTTTAAATTTTCCAAGTAAAAACCTGTCTATCCAATTCCCCGTCTCCATTTAAATCAAAAACATAAAAAGCCAATTTAAATTCACTCGGAGAAGCTGTAAAATAAAATAATTAATTTATTTTTAAATTTAAAACCTGAAAGTAAAGTCATCAAAAAAAGATAATCTCCAAAATTAATTAACCCTCCATTATCAGATAACCAATTAAAAATATTATTTTTATTTTTTCTTTCCAAAATCTTTAAAATTATTTTTTTAATTTAAATTTTTTAACCTCATTTGTATTAATTATTTTATATTTATCTAATCCATATTTTCTTGGCTGCATTACTCCTCTAAAATAAAAATTTTAAATAAATTTATTTAAAAAGCAAAAACGGTGTTAATGAGCGGACAAAATCTTCAGGTGTCATAAAAATATCAAAAGTGCCATCTTCATTAATTAATTTAATTGTGGCAAAATAACGAAAAATTTTATCCGGAGAGGAATATGCACGAAGACGGTCCTAAAATTATTTAGAGAAAAAAAATAATTATTTTTAAAACTAAAACCTCATAATGAATTATTCTTCTTTCTCTAAAACCAATTTTTTTCTTTTTTTTCTTTCCAACAATTGAACATTCATCAGCTTTTTCATTAACTTTTATTATTTAAAAAAATATTGAATATTTTTAAATTTTTCTATTAATTTTTAACAAAAACAAATTTTTTCTTTAATTTTTATATCATATATAAAAATATAATAACTAAAGCAATAATTACAAGCATAATAGAACCTGCAACAAATAACTCGTTATCATCCTCAAAAGGTAAAATTTTTGGTTGATTAATATTCTCTCCGTTAATATTTTCATTTTCTTTTTCTTCTGCAGCTTCTGTTTTAAAATATTTGTCATACATTCTTCGACCATTGTGCCAAAACCTTTAAAAAATTTAATTAAAAAAAATTAAATAATAAAAAAACCAATTAAAGTCAACAAGAAAGAAAACCAACAAAATATTTAGTGGAATAAGATAATAGGGTAACATTTGACGAAAGGCAGTTTTTATAAATGGACGATTTGCATAATGAGTATGAGCTTAACAAAAATATTTTTAGAAAATAATTTGAAAAAAAACCAAAATCAACATATCCTTTTCCAGATTTTCTGTCACTATAATGCTGCAAAGTTTCAGCTGAAACACTTCTCGATCCAAAAATTGTATATTTAAAAGGATGTTCTTCAGGCCATTTTTTATCACGCAAACATTTTGCCTAAACAATTTTAATTTTTTCAAAATTTATTTAAAATAAAATTAACTTCTTCCTCAATTTCTTTTTTCGTTCGAATTCCACTTCCTGGCCAATAAATCTTCCCATCATTACGACCCCTTAAAGTGCATATTTTAATTCTCGGTGCTATTCTAAAAATTATAATTGTTTTTGTTTGGCAAAACAAATTCATTAAACCTTTAAAAAATATTTTTTTGGAAAAAAAAGAATTAATTTAAAAATATTTAGAAAAAAATAAAAATTATATAAAATCAAAAAATAAATAAAATATTTAACAATTTATGAGATCTAACAAACTGTACAAAAATTTATAAAAATAATTTATGTTTTGTTGTTTGTTTCATTAATTAATTCAGGGCTAACAAATTTAGTTAAACATTCCTTAAATAATTTAAAAATTAAATTTAATTAAATTCTTTACGTGAACAGCTAATTGAATTTCTTTCCTTTTTATTTCATCCGAACAATTTATTAAAGTTCGTCGACCTCCTTGAATTATTCGAATACGAGCAGAATAATTTTTCTTTAAAAAATAATTATATATAAAAAAATAAAAATACTTACAATAATTAATGTTTCTTCATCTCCCGTCTAAAGAAAAAAAATAAAAATTAATTTTAAAAGTTCTTCTAAATACCTGAATTAATTCACATTGAAATTCACGCTTTTCTAATAATTCTTTAAATGTTGTAACATTTAAACGTCCAATAAATTTTTGTTTTGAAATTTTCTTTTCATTTTTGTTTATTTTTGAATTAAACTTTAAAAAATAAATAAAAATTATTTAAAAATAATTAATTTTACATTAAATTCCAATTGATTATTTGTTGCCGAAATATGTCCTTTTATTGGACATAAACCATCAAACTTTTCTTTTAATTTTAAATGTTTTAAAACTTCATAATCAACTTTAACCCTTTTCCATGGAATAGAAGTTGGCAAATCTTCATTTTCTTTTCTTTTTAATAAAATTTGTTTTGTTTGGGTATTTGTAATTATTTTTAATTTAAATTCCTCATTTTGTTTAAAACAAATAGTTGGAATTGGAAGTGCATTTAAAGTTGAGAAAGAGGAGGAATACTCATCCGGATATAAAACTTGTTTGGGGGACAAATCTTTGATTATCTTTTTTTTTTAAAAATAATTTTAATAAAAAATATTTTCAAAAAAACCTTATTAAAAACTTGATTACAATCCAGACGGGTTTCTATTGGAAAGTAGTAGGCACGAATTGCTAAAGTTTTGTAAGGAGAATAATAAGTCTCCAAAGGATAATCGGGATCTATCATCATTATTGCATTTTTTGAATTTCCTCCCCAAAGGTCCAATAAGTGAACAATTTCTCCAATTCTCAATGATGGATGTCCAGCAAATACAATGGATGGTTGTCGACATTCTTTAGAGAAAGGTCCATGTAAAGAATCATAAACACGAATACGACGGTTCCGAAGCATCTAAAAATTTTGAAAAAAGATTTTAAAATAAAAAACCTCAGAATGATAAAATGGTTCTTCTGGTTTATAAACTCTCGCCCCTTTATCATCAGAAAGCCATTCAGAAAAAATATTTGCAAATTCTAAACTATTTTCAGCAATCGAAGAAATGAAATAAACAGGAATATTTCGAGAAAGATTATTCTAAAAATTATTTTTTAGAAATTAAAAAGGAAAAATATCAATTACCACTTCAATTGCTTTTACAATTATTTCAAATAAATCATAAATAAGTCCAGTCGAAATAACTGGAATAAGAACATTTCCACCAATTTTGAGAGTTTCTACAACAGCCGAAGTGAATTTATATACCTTTAAAATTATTTTTTAAATTTTTTTAGAAAAAACAAACCGTTATATCCGGACTTTGATCATTTGTGTGAATTGAAGTAAGAATTAATGCATCAAGATTATTAAAAGAATTTAATTCCATTGATTTTGGATGGGAAGGACGGAGTGAAGAAGCAGCAAAATACCCAATTTTATGTTGATTTGTAGATAATAGCCAATTACAAGAACCGATAGAATGTCCACTACTATAAGGGGTTATTCTAAGATCTTCACTTAAAGCCTTGAAAAAACACATTTGAATAAAAATAAAAATTAAATTACAATTTCTTGTCGAAAAAATAAAAGTTTAACTCTTTTCATACAATTTTCTATATCAATTCTTTTATAAAAAGATTTCCAAAAATTTGGATCGCTATTTGGAGGATTCGGGAAAGAACTTGAAAAAAAAATAAAATAAATTTAAATTAAAAAACATTTAAAAAAAACTTTGATATATTTTTCCACGACCATTCATCAATTAAAGGTCTGTCAATTTGTTCAAAAATATCACACAAATCTTCCATTAAAAGTCTTTAAAAAATAAATTAATTAATTAAAACTTAAATACTTGCTAAGCTGAACAATTGGTTCTGTAGCATAAACAACACCTTTAAAGCCCGTCCCTTCTGTAATAAAAGGAAGTGCTATAAAACTTGAACTATTAGATATTAAAATGGCATCTAAAGAGGAAGGATCAACATCTTTAAACTAAAAAAATAAATTTTAAAAAAAACTTTAAAAAGTCCTTTAACTTTTACAGTTCTCATTTCTGGTGTCAATTCAACATAAACTAAATCATTAATTTGTTTAAGTATTGGAATAACATCCTTTCCATATGGATGTACTTTCTTTTGCCAGGAAATTCGATTACTAAAAAATAAAAAAAATTTTTTTTTTAATTTTTAACAAACCTACGAACAAGTGGACACGGCAAAAAAGAAGTTAATGAATCCATTCCAACAATACAATCCAACAAAACATGAAGATGATCGAATTTAAGTAAAATACATGGCCGGTGTGCATTCCAACTAAGCCATTTCTTTAATTAAAAATTAAAAAAAAATATTAAAATATATTACCAAATTTATTTCATCACTCATTTTTTGAAATTTAAATTTTTGAATAAATATTTATGAGAAAAATTTAATAAATCTAAAACTAAGAAAATATGTATATCTTTTATAAACAATTCTTTTTAAAAGTTAACCCTTTGGGTTACAAAATATTTGAAATAAATTAGAAAGGGAGATTAATTTTTGAGAATATATTTTGCTTAAAATTCCCTTATAATTCTACACTGCATAAATTGTCGTCAATAGGAGATTTATTTTATTTTAAACTAAGAAAAAGAAGAAGAGAGAAGAAAAAGTTTTCAACTTATTTTGTATGTCAATTAAGCAAAAAATGCTGTGCAAAATCTATACATTACTACATATGTAAATACAAAAAGTATGTAAACTTAAAAAATAAATAATTCTTCTCACTCACTTCTCATTAATTAATTAATTCTAAAAATGTTTATTATACTAAAAATTAATAATATTTATTTTCTTTTATTTATTTTAATTAATTTTTTTATTAATAAAATTAATTTATCAAATGGAGATATTTCTCCATATTTTAATTATTGTATATTTAAATGTAAAGATTTATTTAATTGTCCAGAATTTAAATATTTTCAATTTACTTGGTGGGCTAATGAAAAATGTTTTAAGTAAAAAAAGAAATAATTATTTTTAATTTCGAAAAATAATTTAAATTAAAAAAGATGTAGACAAAAATGTATTTGGAATACTGTTGAACATTTTAGAATTTCAAAAAAACAAATTCCAAAATTTAATGGGAAATGGCCTTTTACTCCAATTAAAATTAAAATTGGAAATATTTATTTAGCCAATATACAAGTAATTCTTTTTTAAATTTAAAAATTTTAATTTTTCTTAGGAGCCTGCTTCAACTTTCTTTTCACTTTTAAATGCTTTTTCCTTTTGGAAAATGAAACAAAAAATTAAAAGGAAAATAAAAAATAATTGGAAACATTTAAATAAATGGGTGGGATTTGGAAATATTGGAATAATTACTTGGTGGTTATTTTGGGTACTTTTCCGTTATACGACCGCAAACTGAGTGTAAACCGAATTTTATCGGTTATAACATTTTGATGCCTGATCCTATATAAATGTTTTTATAGCATTCGAAAGCACTCGATAAGAGGTATCTTTTATCCAACTTGATCGATCAGGTCTGATCGCTCATTAAAAAGTTGACGATCAAAATCGGCTGGCACTCAGTTTGCGGTCGTATAACGGAAAAGTACCTTTTGTTGTTTGGAATTAAAAAATATTTTATTTTAAAATTTAAAGGATAGCTTCAATTACTTTCCATATTTGTGACCATTGGATAACTGAAATTTTTGATTATTGTGCGGCATTTACTTTAATTTTATATACTTTTTATATTTCTGTTTGTTTTTGTTTTTCCGAATATTTTGAAGAAAAACAAAATATTTTTTTATCAATTGGATTTATTTCTTTTTATTTTGGGTATTTAACAAAAATTTATTCAAAAGTAAATTTTAAATTTAAAAATAATTTATTTATTTAAATCAAAGCCTTTATTTAATTATTCATTTCATATGAAATGTTGTATTTTAATTGGATTATTGACTGGATTTATATTTTTATTTTGGATATTTTTTGAATATTTAAAAGGAAAGAAAAGAATTTCTTTATTAATTTTAATTTTAATGGTTAGTTTATTTAAATTAATTTTAAAATAATTTATTCTTTTAAAGTTGTTTATTAGTTTTATATCCGCCTCTTTCGATGCTTTTTTTGATTTTCCTCCAATTTTTTGGATTTTTGATGCTCATTCATTCTTTCATTTATTTTCTATTCCCATACCTCTATTATGGGCTGAATTTTTATGTTTGGAAGCAAAATTAGATAAACAAAAAATTGAAAAATAAAAGAATATATTTTTACAAAATATTTTTAATTTATTTTTATTTTAAAACAAATTTCAAATAATTATTTAAATAACAAAAACTTACAAAATAAATTTTTCTAATTATTTTTAATTTTGCCTTTTTCTTCATTTCCAGCCTTCCATTTAGCAATTCTTTCCCCTTCCCAAAAATCAAAAAGGAAATATGGGCCATTAATTAACAAAGCACCAAAAACGAATGCTGCTGTTGTATCACTAATTGGTAAACGATTTTCTTTTGTTGGGGAAGGAATTTGTCGAAATGTTCTTCGAGCTTTAATTTTAAAAGAAAATCTTTTAAATTAAAAAAAGCTTACAAATTCTAATAATAATCGCCATCATTCCAGCAACCCCCAAAACATACCCACACATCTTTAATTGTTGCAGTATTTCTTTACGGCGTATTTCCGCCCACTAAATTAAAATATTAAAAAAAATATTTTTATTAAAAAAAAAAGAAAACCTTTGCTCGTAATTCTTTTTTTAAATATTTAGGATAACCATTTTCTCTGTAATCTTCTTCCATTTTTTTATTAATATGATGAAATTGATAACGATTTAAATGATGCCAAGACATTGCACCAAATACACCAAAAGTCATCCCAATTCCATATGAGCTCATAAAACGGTCAAGTAATGATCTAGTTGCCATTAATTAATTAATTTAAAAAAACTTTTAATTAAAAGAAAAAAAACAATTAAAAAATATAAAAATAAATTTAAGAAATATTTTTTAGAAAAACTTTTAAAAAATATTTTTTAATTTATTTATTTACAAAAAACAACAAATTACTAAACAGAAACAATATTTTTTCTATTCTCTTCATCTTTAATTGACCAAAGATAATAAGCAATTTCCACAGGAAGCCCTCCTAAAGGAACACCAAATCCAACATCAATTAAAAACTAAATTTAATTAATTAAAAAAATATTTATTTTTGAATTACATTTTCAACCATAACATCATTTTTGGGTATTACAGTGAATTTCTTTCCTAAAAATTTTAAAATTATGTAAAAAAATATTTAAATTACTAATTCTCATTAACAAAAAGAATAATGTTCCAGCCGTCACAAAGTATGCCCCAATTTTAAAATGTCGAATTATTTCTTGTTTTCGAAATGGCATCCACTAAAATTCAGAAAAATTAATAATTTTTTCTCAATTTAAAAATTTATTTAATATAAAACACATAAGTATAATTGTAAAAGAATATAAATTTTTGTATTTCCAAGATTTCATTCAAATTTTTAATGTTTTACGATAAAATTATTTTAGATACTTTGTATTAACCATGTACATAATGGCAATAGGTACTGAAATTTAAAAGTATCGTAAAACGTCAGAATTTTTAAAAATTATAAAATTAATAATCCAGCCTACAATTTTTTTAGAAAAAGAAATGTAGTACACGTATACCAAAAAAACCTATTCTTAAAAACTAAAAACTATTAAAACCCTACCTTTGCATCTTTTTCTGGTCCATCATGATCATAAATATTCTCTTGTTTAAAAAAACTCCAATTGTTATAATGTAATGCAATTGCCCCAACAATACCAAATATTGGAGTTGTTAAATATTTTTCTAATGTCGTTTGTCGCCAAAGTAATGGACGTACTCTTACTTTTCTGTATGGTGCTAACATAAAAGTATGGAAAAATACCCTAAAAATCACTGAAAATAGAAAAGGATAAAATGTACATACACCGCTAACGAAAAGTACAAAAGATATATACGCAGGATTTGATGCTATCAAAACCTCGTTAAACAAAATTACAGAAATATGGAACTATAAACGATATTGAATTTATCTAGTGTTCATATGTATATGTAGAGACAATAAATTATTAATTTTTTAAAATATTTATGTACATGAAAGTAAAAGAATTTTTGTGATTTTATTTATTCCTTTCTTTTATTGTTTTTGTACAAACATGTCCGCACCCCACAACAGGACAAAATTCTGACTGGCTAAACCACTCTTCCATGTGAAGCAAATGACCCCCATGACCTTTAAAAAGTACTTAATTTAGACTTGCTTCCGATTAAAACAAACCACATTCTGCACAGCTCGACCAAATACCACGAACGTTTGTCTCACTAAAAAATTTATTTTTAAATTGGGTACTCTTCCGTCAACACCCAGAATTTTCCCCGAGTGTATTTTAACATATAGAAGCCGAGACCAAAACTTGCATTATATACTAGGATTCAGCCCGTCCCCAGGGAGGCACCCTTTGCCTCAAACTAAATACTAACCAAATAGTACAAGTATAGTTGTAGAAATGCCTGCATTTCAAACATCGCATACTTGCACGTGTTGATGTACTCCGACAATGGGGACACCAAATTTTGACAAATGTACTCTGAAAGGTAATCTATTTAAGAAATCTCAAATATGTATTTTTACTTCATTGCTTAATTGGTTAATTCTCGCACGGTAACACTTTTTGACGAAAAATGCTGACACCCGCCACAAACTTAGCCTTTCGAGAATCTCTTAAAAATTAAAATAAAAATTCTTTAAAAATTTTGTACCTATATAAGCGAGAAACCAAATATCTACTTGACTTGGAGTAACTAATTTATAATCAACAATTTTCTGTCCAAAAACCATACAGATCGTTGCACACATTTGAACATCCCCCTAAAATTTAAGAAAATCTCCCCCAAATTTAATTAAAACTAACTAAATCTGAAAAGAATTCAAGCAACGATTTAAGTGAAGGCAATATGTCAAATTGAAAGGAAGAACATTGTTTATGTGTACATTGTGATAAACATGAAAAACTAGTTTCTAATTCAATTTCTGTAAGAACATTGCTAATTTTAATTAAAAAAATTTAAATATTTACGAAATTGTGAGTCAGCTCCTTCACTATCAGAAACAGCAGTTTTTGTCGATATATCCTTTACATTTTCAATAAAATCTCTGTCTCCTTCAACAGATGCTGATTGTCCAATGTCATTATCCGATGAATTTGACAATGTACTCATACTTGCAACAATTAAACCATCATCATCTTTCCCCTCATTTTCTTCCTTTGTTTTTCCAAATAATCTCCGAGTATTAATTTCCTCTCTTTCTGTTAAATTCATGGAGGATAAAGCTAATTCAAGATCTTCGGCTATACGAGAAGGAAGGCGATTTTTTCGTGCCGAAGAACGGTGAAAATGATGATGATGTGGACGATAATCACCAAAAAAATTGAGCAGCTGATTTTTGTTGTATTTTCTTCTTCCCATATCGAAAACCTCCTCATTAAGTTGTGAGCAATTAATGAAAGTAGAAGTGGCAATAGATCTAGAAAATTAAATTCAAAATTATTTTAACTAAAAATACCTCCAATTAATTGAATGTGACTCTTCATCATCTGTAACACTTCCAAAATTCAAATCTCCAAAAAGTAAATCATTTGTATTTAATTCATTATGAGATGGCAGTGATCCGGGAATTGGAGGCATTGAAACTTCAGATTCGTGAACATTAGATAAGCATTCCATTGCTTGTTTTGGCTGCTCTTTTTTAGTATTATAGTCAAAAAATGCTTTGTTCGAATTTGGAGTAAAATGATCAACTGGTAGACGTTCAAATGATCCATTTTGACCTAAAATTAGAATAAAAATGTAAATTAAATTTAGAAAAAATTTTTATAAATTAGGATTACCATTATCAAAAGAGGATACTAAATGAGCATGCCGATTAGTATAATGAGACAATGTTGTTCCAATATCCCCTTGCAAGGCCAATAAACCAGTCACCCTCCAAGTATAAGCTAAACTGTCCCTTAAGAAATTAATTTTAAAAAATTTATTAAAAACACTTTACCTATAAATATATTCAGCTACCCGACCATTATAATCACAAAGTTCAGAAATGGAATCTCCAGTAATTTTATAACTAAATAAAGATAGATTTGCTTCAAGATATAAAAAACTTTGAAGCAAAATATGACAGAGCTTTGACAGGCATTAGAAGAGGATCAGATGGTGATATAGAGAAAATCATGCTTGGAGATCGGCGACGAAAAGAATCAAAGTGATCCATAAGTAAAGGGCTGCCTTTTCGACGAGAAGATGGGACTTAAACAAAAAAAACTAGAAATACAAAATAATGGAAAGAATTACCAGCGACAATGAATTCATCAGTTGATGAAGTGTTTGTATCTAGTGCAACATTATTTGCATAAATAAAAGGTCTAAGTGGCGCATTCGTGAAGTTAATGATCAATTTACCATCCTTTCCACAGGAAAGAAATGTTCCACCTGTTCCATATTTTGGCCATGACATATCTATTTAAAAATAATTTAAAAATAATTTCCTAATAAATAAATTACCAGTGCATGTTTTTGTATGTGCATCAAAGGATGCGAAAGGAATAAATGGTCGACGAATATCCCAAACATAAATAGTATTGTCTGAAGAAACAAAACCACTTGGCGGTGCAAAACAACAAGCTACATGCCTAACAAAAAAATTTTAAATTTATATAAAATATGTGACTATCTCGAAGGTAATTTATTTTCAATTGTAAGCCCGTAAAAAGGGGAGAGAGTGGAGAAAGGGACTGTTAAATTTAAATCAAACGATACCAAGAGTTGTCCGGACACCAAGAAACGCGAGTTACAATTGCCATCATTTCCACAGTATAAAGAAATTGCGGCATACTTTTAGACCAATCCCAAATACGAATATATTTATCACGACCAGCTGTAGCAATAAGATTTTTGGATTGGATTTGTGGATTTAACGCTATACTAAAATTAAGCCAAAACTAATGTAACTTGTAATAAAAACCTGTAGATCTGTGAACTGTGAGCAATAAATTCTCTAAAAAATTAAATAAAAATATGTTTTAAAAAAGGCTTTAGATATACTTCGAAGGTTTATCTGGTCGACGTGCATCCCAAAAGCGAATTGTACCGCTGTCCCCAGCAGTAACAAATGTATCTTGCAATTTGCTTTCCATGCAGAATTGAATGTCTAAAGGAAAAATAAAGTTTGTAAAATTTCAAAAAAACCTCTAATTGAATCGTCTTGATTGCTTCTAAAAAATAAAATTTAATAGAATATTACCACAATATAAATTTATATCCGATGCAAATAATACATATACATAGTAATTATTCCTAAAAATTTACGCGAAACATAAGCTCGGTTCAGCACATCTTAAATCATACAACCAAACAGTGGAATCTTTTGATCCGCTAACAAGAATATTCTCATTGAATTCACTAAAACAAACTTTAGTGACAAGTTGTTTGTGTGCCTTGTAGGAGCACTCCACTAAAAAAGTGACATTGTTGAATCACAAACAGTTGTATTACTATGAGTGGTTTCTGGATCCCAAAGATAAATCGCTCCAACAGAAGAAGTAACAGCAATCAAATTTTCTATAATTAATAAAGAATAGGCAGAAAGTAAGACACTTGTAAAGGAAGGCATTTCCTGCGAACAATTTTTGCGGAATTTTTCGCAAAAACTCCCACAGAAAATAAATACCCCACCCTTCCTTTACAAATTTAAAACTGCCATTTATTAATTAAAACAAACTTACCCCTTAAAGGACACCAAGCAATGCTGCCCGAAAAGTACATCGTCTTTCTCGGCTTGTTTCTTTCAGCAATTAATTCAAACTTTTCATCACACGAAGAAAAAACCTTTACAACTAAAAATCATTGTTTATATTTACAAAAAATATATTTAAACCTGTCCTTCCAGTAATTGCAATTCTAGATCTGTCTTTATTTGTACATAAAGCATCTAATGGCTCAGTAGTCTGATGGATGATCTGATGCCTTTTATTCCTCATTTATTTTTAATAAGAAAACAAACAAAATCTTGCAAATTATAGAAATTCCAAAAATTTCTAAAGTATTTTACTAATTAAGTAGCTGACAAAAAAGCAAGGAAATTTTTTATTAAATTTTCAATATCAATGACATTCGAAGATTGAACGTATAAACCTGTCCTAGTTAAAACTAGAGGAGCACGAAATCGAGGCCTCACACATTTCCTAGTCTCGATCTCGGATTTTCTAATCTCGACCTCTATTTTTCTCTATTGACAAAATTTTTCTTCAAATCTTTCTAGTTCACAGAATACTTATTTTTACGTTGTATCGTTTTACTTTACATATTAACATCAAAAAACAGCTAATTATCAGTTTTAGTTAATTACTTCAATTATTTTTTGTCAAGTATTATGAATCATTCGAATTTAACTTCATCAAAAGTAGAAAGTCGTTCTCGAAATGTATGAAAATATTTTTTTGTTTCAAAAATTTATTATTAAAAATTTAAGCATGAAAAGAATCATTTCCGTCAACCTCCATTAGAAGCTCAAGGATCTTCTTCTTCCACTTCTATTACTCCTGTAAAGCGTCAGCGATTCCGATTTGAAGGCAACAGTAATGGATTTACTAATAGAAATTGTTGGAACAGTAACAGAAATTGGAATAATCCTCCAAATGGAGAAAGTCAATCTTCTTTAGGCAATCTCCACCGCCACCAACAAAAAAGAATTATTTACAGAGGTCAAAATCGGTCAGGAAAACATTTTGAGACTTCAACATCAGATACTTCACCAACAACTAACACAAACATTCAGACAAGATCTGCTGAACTTAGTGATTTACCCGGGTATTTTGATGGATATTTCTAATTATAAACTTAGAAAATTTAAAGATATTCTTATGATCCAAGCAGCAAAAAATATTATAAAATTTTGGATAATGTCCCCGGACAGGTTAACCTTCTCACTTATTAACTAAAAATATTTACCTAATTTAGCCTTCTGGTTCAACTTTATTACATTTACGAAAGTTGGCAGTTAATTCAGAAATTTTAAAATGTTCTACTACAAATAATTCTTTACGAAAATTTAACAACATAAGTTTGCCGAATGCTTTGGCTGGACTTCAAATTTTTGGTTCATGTAGGGGTACAAATCTACGGTTAATTGAAGAGTCAAGATTACGGTCTGTTAAGCAAACACCTAGCTATAGTTCTGAGGTTTTAACAAAAATAAAAGTAAAATTAAATTATTTTGAGGTTTCGGATAGTTGGTCACAACGTTTTGACAGTTGCCAGTTTTTGGATGTTTCAGAAGATGGGAAAACCTTGTTAGGGTGTTGGTCAACTCAGCGGAATGATATTTTTTCTGGACATAATCAATGTTCACGAGTATTGTCTTTTAAAGTCCATTCAAATTCTGAACAAGCAAGGTTGTTAAATATATTTTTTTATTTTTAATAATTATTTTTTAAGAAGACACGCTCAACTTTTGGATGAAAATCCTAAAAAATTATTTGACACAAATGGACGTTTTGCTTGTAACACTTATGGGTTATTTTTTGTTTATTGTTTTTAAATTTAAAGTTTACTTGTTAGATTGCAATTTGATCCTCTTGATAATGGAATTTGTCTAGAAACAACAAATCAAGTACTTGTTGATATGGTACTTGCTCCCGCAGGTTTTACTGACATTTTTTTCTGAAGGAATAAAAATTCTTCCTTAAAATTTTAGATAGAGATGTTACATGTCTTCTTTTTGCTACAGCTAGTTCCTTTTATAATTCGGTTTGTGACAAATTTCCTCCACGAATTGTTACAAAATGTAATGTACATTTACGACCTATTGAATTTAATTTGAGTGAAGAAGTTATTTTTATTTTTTTTTATTTTTATAAAAAATTTAAGGGCCGTGAATCGATGAGCTCTCCCATTTACAACTCCGAATGGACATCAACTGAACCTATTTGGTCACTCTGTTTTAATTCTCATCATATGAAGGTGAAAGGAATCATTTTTCAAAATTCAGATTATTTTAGATATGCGTTGGAATGGAAAGAAATGCTCGAATATTTAATGTTCTTTCTGGGCAGAATTTCTCTGTATCCAGTGGGGGAAGAAATGTAATTTCTTGTGCTTTTTCAAAGGTTTTTAGTGTCCATTCATTTTAAATGTTTTTTCAATTTCTGGACGGAAATAATCTTTTCTTTGGTCGGAAATCTGCGAATATTTCTTTGTTGGACCTTCGAATGCATTCGAATCATTGTGTCGGTGAATTTGTTGATTCTGCTTCATCTGGTTTCGTTCACACTTTGTGCAAAAAGCCAAATACTTTGTTGAGTGAAAATTTTGATGGGAAGATAAAACTTTGGGATATTCGAACAAAAAAAGTATTAACACAAATGGAGTCTGGACATCTCAATTCTTCACATAAACTTCCTTGTTTTGTTGATGCAAATGAACAATTTATATTTGCTGTTGGCGAGGATTTAATTGTTCGTGGTTGGTCTCTACATACTGGGGAGGTATTTACAACAATTATTTTGAAAGAATTGTTTAAAAATATTTAGTTGTTGTGTGTTGTACGTAGTCCAGCAGTTCATAATCAAATTAGGGAAACTTCCGATTGCAATTCCACAAATGGAGTTGACTTTCCGAGAGTGGTCTACAGCAATTCATGGGGTGGAAGAGCAGGCAATTCAGCGTTAATCTTTGCTGTCAATGGCGATTTATTGGTTCATGAACTATTACTTTGAATGACATTGGGTAGAGGCTACTTCGTTTGAGGCTCTTTTTTATCTTGTATAAATATATTTAAATTTTTTTGATGTATAAATTTATAAAAAAATTTTAGTCAGAAATAGTTTTATAACTTTAGTTATTTAAAACAAAAAACAAAGAATTAAAAATTTTGTCATAAAGTCAAACTTGGTTCATTTATTTCATTCATTTCAGCTTTGAATTCTTCAATTTTTGATAATTGTTTAAGCACTTGGGCAGAATTTTGACCAGTAGCAGAGGGAATAACCGGGGTTTTTGTTGAAAAATTGGTGACATGTATTGCCCCTTTAATTGTTTTGCGTGTCTGAGCCCTTAGCAATACATTCTGGGCATTTTCTAAACTTAGGGATTTGTTGTTATAAAAAATTTAAATAAAATTACCTGAAATTAATTTCCTTCCAGACATTAAAGGCAGTCCAAAAAGTGTACTTAAATTTCCAACATCATAAGGAGCTCGTAATGAAATCTTAAAAAAAAATTAAAACTAAATTTTAAATTTACAAACCGGTTCATCAGCTCCACTACTTAATACAACTCCATTACCCCCTCTTGTAATTTCAATTAATTTTCTTGCACATGAAAAAAACTAAAGAGGCTATTTATTTAAACAAAAATTTTCAAAAAAAACTTGTCTTCTCCTTTCAGAACCTTGCAATGCTTTAGAATAAGTTATCTCAAAATAAATACCAACATTAACACAACTTTGAACAATTTTTTGTTTAAATAACCAAGAAATACCTCCAACTTCTCTATAAATTCCATCAAGAGTAACCAAATCAACAAAGTCTCCCTTCCTTTGTAATGTCAAAAGTAATTGTTCATTTGGAACACGAACAGCAACTTTTTTTTAAAAAACTTTTAAATTTTTAATTAAAAAATTACTAACTAATATCATATTTTTTCACCCTTGCGTCATGTTGAAATTTATGAACAGAATTTTCGTCTAATGTTACTGTTAAACGACTAAAATATTTTTTAATAAAAATTAATTTAAAATTAAATAAAACCTAAATTGGCGAAAACTTTTCCCGTTTTGCAAAAAAGTAGAAATATCCAATTCTGATTCATCTAAAATAAATGGATCTGGAATTATTGTTTCTGTTAAAGATTCTTCTTCATTTTCTTCCTTTTTCTGTTGAATTTTTTTCTTTTTATTCGGTGGTTGTTGTAAATTCTTAAATATAATTTAAATAGATAAAATTTTTAATTAAATAAAATATACTTACATCAATATCTACTTGAGAATACCTTCCAATGTCAATATTAATAACCTAAAATTTAAAAAAATTAAAAAATATTCAAAATTAAAAAAAATTAACCACAGCATCATATCCCATTCTCACGGCTCGTTTTACATTAGCTAAGGTTTGCTTAGGATTTCCACGGTGTTTAATATTTAAATCGGCGAAGTGAATCTTTTTCATTGAAATTTAAATCTGGTAATTAATTGAATTTAAAATTTACACAAAAAATTAATAAAAAATATCCGGAAACAGAGGCCATTGGGTAAATTCAACTGCAGCCCAGAAATTATCTTTAAGTAAAATCGGACAGGATCAATATGAAAAAATTTAGCGGGGTGCCAAATTCCGGTTTGGCATGAAGAGAAATCTAAAATTCGATTTCTGGACCCGGAAATGATCTTGAAAGACACTAATTATGAGCCATTTTTTGGAGAACATTTTTTAGTCTAAATTTGGGAAAAAATTTATCAACTAGCGCCCAAAAAGTGCCGCGCCCTATTGGGAGCGCCCAAACGTGGTGTCTCGATGAAATAACAACTTTTATAAAAATTTTCTTAAGTTTTTATCTAATTTATACGTACGTAATATTATTTATCGTCTTTAAATTTAAAAAAATTTAGAGATGTGGTTATTTAATTATTTTTCTTTATTAATTTTATTTATTTTTAATTGTTGGGGAGATCAACAATTACCTGAAAGTGTCACACCTCCAATACAAACCCCACCACAACAAGAAGAGATTATTATGGCAATTTTTGTTCCGGCAGGTAAAGTAGAATGTATTTATCAACCAATTGTTAATTTGAAATATAATTCTTTTGAAGTTGATTATCAGGTATTTTTAGAATATTTTTTTAATTTAATTTAATTTAAAGGTTATCGAAGGTGGCGAAAATGATATTTCTTTTATTCTTAAATCACCTAGTGGAATAATTATTGCTTCTGAACAACAAAAAACTGATGGATCACACAAGTATTTCTTTTTTAAATAATTTTATAAAAAAATATTTTTAGAATTATTCTTGATGAACCAAATCATGGGAGAGGAGATTATGCTTTTTGTTTTGACAATTCATTTAGCTATAGCAGCGATAAAAGAGTTTATTTTTTTTTAATTAAATTTTAAAAGGGGTTTTTTTAATTTTAAAGGTGTTTTTTGAAATATTTTTGTTGGATAAAGATGGAAATTATTTGAGTGATTATGACATGAAATTGTCTGCTAAAGACAGTGGGTTATTGGCCGAACAATTTGAGACATTCAGTGTTTGTTATTTTATTTGAATTTAATTACAAGAGTCTAATAGGGAATTTTTCTTAAATTTTGGTCTAAAAAGATTTTACTTCAAGAAAATAATTTTAATCACTCATTGATAATTATCCATTATCTCTCACCATTTTCCTCTTCAGTACCCTAATAGTTAGAAGGCATAGGTAAGTTTAGGAGTTATTTAGGAGGCTAAAATTCTGATTTTTGTACACTTCACATAACCTTCTAATATTTCATTGCTAATCTTCATTCTCTAAAATTACATAAATGTTTTCCCTCCTATCAATTAATTTATAAAATAAAATTAATTCTAGAGAGTCACTAACAAAGTCAAAGGCAATTTAAATGAAATTGAGCGTATGCAATCACAATTTCGTGCAGTGGAAGCTAGAGATCGTTCTTCTATTGAAGTTTATTTTTTAAATTTTTTAAATTTAATTTTTTAGGTGGCTTTTGAAAGAATTAATTTTTGGAGTGCAATTAATTTATTTTGTCTTATATTTGCTAGTTGTGTTCAGGTAAATTTAAAATTTTCGGGAATGAAAGGCGGGGTTTGGATTTTTTACTCATATTTTTTCCTATGTTTTTATCTCAACCATAAAAATCAAAAATTTGAAAAAAATTTAAATAAAAAAATCCCAACCTCCCTTTAATTCAATATATAACCGCATTTTTTACAATTAATTTTGTAAGGTTTATATGGTTCGTTCGTTATTGGAAGATTCTCGAATGGGAAATTTTATAAGGCATGGGAAGTTTAAGTAAATTAAAAGAAGAGTAAAATGAACTTTTTCTTTCGGGTCTTTAAATGGAAAATTAAATAAACGCCTTTTCTATTTTTTTAAAATTAATTTAAATATTTTAAGAACTATTTCTAAAAATCAACGAGGAATTTGTATATTTATTTTGTTATTTGTTTTGTGGACATATTTAAATATAAATTATTTGTTGTTTAGTTTTTATTTTTATAAAGTTGAAAAACTTGAAAATATTTTTTAAAAAATTTTTAAATTATTTTAAATATTTATTTTTTAAGTAAAAAATGGATATTTCAGAACAATTAAAAATTAAAGGAAATGAATGTTTTAAACAAAAACTTTACAATAAATCAATTCATTTTTACACTTTAGCTATTGAATCTAATCCAGAAAATTCAATTCTTTGGTCAAATAGGGCACAAACTTATTTAAATTTACACAAGTAAATTAATTTTTTTTGGTAAAATTGAAGTTCGTAATCCCCTCCTTTTTCTCCTAAAGGTATTAAAAATGGCCATTTTTATTAGAAATGGTCAAATTGTCGGTTCGGGATTGAACTCAAGAAGCGGTGATTTTCCGGTCCCTACTTATTAGACATCGTGCTACCACTAAACTTGTGTTAGGCGGTTGGCCCTCCACATACAAGTTCGTTTTCCGTGAAAAGCCTGACCCATTTTTAATACTTTGAGGAAGAAAAAAGGAGGGAGGGGATATACAGTGGTAGTCATATGTTTATGGACAACAACGATTTATCAATAAAATCCCTCATAACAAAACTTAATAAGAATAAATCAAAAATATAATTCGGTGGTACAAATGCCCAGTTCATTTGCTATATAATACCTCAGTTTCATTTAAATTCACCTTCATTAGCATAATTAAAACTTGGTCCAAATCTCTCCACCCCTATTTTTAACGCGTCATATGTTTATGGACAAATTAAATAACCTTGGATTTCTCTACTTTAGTTGGTGCAAAAATTCTACAAAAATTTCTGTGAACATTTCCAACGTTACTGAATAGAAAAGTAAAAAGAATGAAGTCTGTACCTACTTTCTTCATCGAGATCTAGAATCTCAAAAATCAACAGGAAATGGGGGTACAGTACTTAAAAAAATATTTTAACCCCCTAGAGCTATAAAAAAATTTTCTTTTGGGCCCATTAAAAAGCCCATAAAATTTGCTACAAGATAGCCTAGACTTTTATTCTTCCAACAAAAACTCGTGAAGATGGAGGCAGGAATATTTCTTAGGCTATCATTTTTGGGGTATTTTAGGTGATTTTTGACCATTTTTCTGTGAAAATGGATGTATTTCGAACAATTATTTTTTGGAATAAATGCGACCTGTACTAACTTGTAGCAAATTTAATGGGCTTTCAAATGAGCTCAAAAGAAAATTTCTTATAAAAGCTCCAGGGGGTCAAAATATCCTTTGAAGTACTGTACCCCAATTTCCCGTTGATTTTCGAGATTTGAGATCTCGATGAAAAAAGAAGTTGTAGACTCCGGTCTTTTTATTTTCTACTCAATATCAATAAAAATGTCCACGGAGTAGCAATAATCTCATTTTTTGGCATTAATCTACAAAGTTTTAGATGGAAAATCATTTGTCCATAAACATATGACGCGTTAAAAATAGAGGTGAAGAGATTTGAACCGGATTTTAATTATGATAATGAAGGTGGATTTTAATAAAACTAAGCTATTTTATAGCAAATGAACTGAGTATTTGAACTGTCATTTTTTATTTTCGGTTGATTCTTATTTAGTTTTGTTATTAGGGATTTTATTGATAAATCGTGGTTGTCCATAAACATATGACCACCACTGTATAAACTGCAATTTTACTATTTTTTTGTAAAATTTAAATTAATTTTATAGACCAGAGAAGGCTTATATGGACGCTTGTGGGGCTTTACAAAAAGAATTTAATTCAAAATCTTTATTTAGGTAATTAAATGTTTCTCCCTTCATATGTTTTTTGTGGGTAAATTAGTCAAAGATTAATGAAAAGGAAATCAAAGCAAGAAAAACACAAAATTTGAAATACCCAAATATTTTTATAAAAATTTTTCTGCAATTTTTAGACGTGCAATTGCTTTAAATAAAATTGGATTAAATAAAAAAGCTTATTTTGACCTTAAAAGATGTTTTGAATTAAATAAAGAAAATAAAGAAATAAAAGAATTAATTAAAAATTTAAAAGAAAAGGTAAAAAATAATTAAATTTCTAAAAATTAATTTAATATTTTAGGAAGATTTTGAGATTATTGATTTAACTGTTTTTCAAAAGCCTGAACTTCTTCAATCTAAAAAACCTTTAATAAAAATGGAATTAAAAAATAAATTATAAAAAAATATTTTTTGTTTGAATTCCTTTGGGGGACAAAAAAAAATTTGGAAGAAATAAAAAGTTCTTTTAATTAACGAGAAGAAAAAGTATTTAAAGAGAGTTACATATGTAATTTTATCAAATTTTGTTTTTATTTATTTTAAATATTTTCTATCAAAAAATTAGAATGTTAAAAAGTGAAAAAAACTTTATATTTAATTTAAAGAAGGAAAGAGAAGAATATTAAATATAAACTAACCTAACAAATTTTTTTTATGTTTTTAGATGTCCTTAAGGGCCAAATTCAATCTTTCCTCAAAAGTACTTTTTTTATTTTTCAAGAATTCATTCAAAAGCTAAAAAATATTTCCCTTTCTTTTTTATTATTAACAATTTATTTGTTAAAAAATAAATGTTTTTTTGATTTAATTTATATTTACCTAAATTATTTTCAAAAAAACGGAAATAAATAAAAATTTGAGTTAATTATTTTAACCTAAATAAGGATTTTCTTTGAATAGTGAATATTCTATTTTAAATCTTAAAAATGTGGGAATATTTTAATTAAATTTTACAGTTTCACTTATTTTTTATATACAAATTTCCATTCGTCTTCTTGGAATTTTTTTAGTTTTTTAAACAAAACTACTACTTTAAACTACTTACTAATCCATTAGTTTCTTCTTTTAAAAAAATATTTTTAATGGGCAACAAACAAAATGGGTCAATAATTAATACAGAATTTAATGATAATTCTAATAATAATTCTAATACTATTTCAATAAATAAATTAAATTCTTCAAAATTTTCTCCATCTTCAATACAAAACAATAATAATAACACCCCAATTATTTCTATTAATAATAATAGAATTAATAGAAGACGTTCAGAATTTCAACAAAGTTCAAAAAAACCTTTAAATTATGATAATCGAAGTGGAGGGGATAGTGGGGGGAATTTAATTGGAATAAATGGGGGAATGTTAAATGAAAGAACTCGTAGAGCAAGAAGGTGGTCAAGTGTTGTTACAGTATCTAGAAACAATGGAAAGCCAAAAAGATTAACTCCACGACAATGCCATTTAATTATAAAATCGTGGGGAAGGCGAACACCAAAAAGCCGTGTTGTTAAAGATATCTTTGCATGTAAAGATTTTTTTCTATTAATTTGTATTCCTAATGAACTATTCAATTAATGCTTTCCTTTTTTGAAGCAATTTTTGGAGAAGCTGAAGAACTTAAATCAGCATTTGGCGTTGAACAAAATATAGCTGGAAGACGTTTAAGAACTGATTCAAATTTTGTTTCCCACACAAATTTGTACTTATTCTTTTAAATGAAAAATATTCCTTTTCACTTTGTTTAACAGATTTGCTGATACTTTGGATTTTGTTGTCAGAAATTTGGATGATTTTTCACTTGTAACAGAAAATGCTGAAAAATTAGGAAAGTAAAGGAAGAATTTTGATATAATTTTTAAAAATAATTTTAAAGAAAACATGCAACATTCCCTTTAGAAAATGGTTTTAAACCTGAATATTGGAATATTTTTGCTGAATGTATTGTAGAAGGTATTTCAGCTGGTGAAGAATGTAAAGAAACATTACTTGCTTGGCGTCAATTAGTTCAAACTGTTATTTATTATATGAAGTTGTATTTTATTTTAAAAGGACTTTTTTCATTAAATAAATTATAGACTTGGATATGATCGAGAAACATTGCGGTTAGCCCGTCATGCTTCACTTCGACGTTCTTACTCACCAACTCGAGCTGCAAGAATTCAACAACAGCAATCCCTCGAACAACCAAATCAACGTTTCTCTTCTGGACTTATTCCAATTTCCCCACTCGCAGTTAGCTTTGAAGAAACAAATAATTACAGACAACAAACTTTATTAGATGAAACGAGAAGGAATAGTTATACTACAAAAATGTCAACACTTTCAACACCAACTATGGACAATAAACGAATAAATTTATTGAGATAATTGATCGATATTTTAATTTCATTATTAATAAAGTTTGCCCGCGTTTTACGTTAATTTTCAGTGCATCGAGATCTCGATATTGAAATGAGCTATAGACCTGGCTCTTTTTTTATTTTTTCTAAGTATCGATAAAGATGCTTTCTCAAATATTTGTACCCTATCATTCAAAATAAAATTAAAGTGTTTCCATATAAAATAAAGTGCACCAGTCAAAGAGTAAAATTAAAAATCATGTATAAAGTCGCGCTGAATCTTCAATAGATCGAGAATAGGATTTGAAGAATAATATAAAGATTTGAGGAGATTTTTAGATGCTCGAAATACCGTAGATAAGCTAAAACTTTTTATAATTATAACGTTGAAATTGGCGGTCATCATTTAAATTTCTTTATATCTCTTCCCAAATCATCTTATTCTTCAATGTTGAAAAACTTGTTAAATGAAGAAAGACAAAATTTAGGGGGAATTTAAAGAAAATAAATTATGACGAAGTGGCCGGTGGCAAAATGCTCGCGACGAAGTGGGACGTACCCTCTAGTCGAGAAAGAAGTACGTTTCAGTATCACTGTTATAGTCTCGAGCAGAGCTTCGAAATTTTGATTTTGCTTGATTATGCTCGTGCTTGTGGTATAATTCTTACACTAGAAAAAATCCAAGTCTGATTTCCGGACCCGGAAGCGTTATTTTACTCGACTCTAATAATTTGTTTAAATTTTTCTATTTAGATTATTTATCAACTGAATGGACAAAATTAATTTTTTTAATTTAAACAACTGAACTAACTTATTTATACTAAATATTAGTAGTTCTTTAAATTATTTGAGGATATGGTTTTGGATAAATTTGTTGATAGAAAATTTTATCAACACAGTGGATTTTCTAATTTGAACGGCAGCAAAAATAGCGGAAATGTTGATAGCAATACAAATAATAATACTTCATTCGCTTCCTTTTCAACTGTTACAGGATTTCCGAACAATTTTCGATCTGGCTTTAATAACAATGGTCATTATCAACAGGTAAATTAATACATATATTGTTAAATCTTTATTCCATTTTCAGAGGGCAATACTTTTACAAAGTCCAACTAAATCTTTGGATGACTTTGGGGCTGAGGCTAGTAGATCACCTTCTATTCAGAGATGTAGCGGTAATTTAATTTCTTGTTGTGAGCCAACATTAACAGCAGTTGTTGCTTCTACATGTGGAAACCCTGCACTTTGTGATCCAACCGATGAACACCATCAACGACTTTTTTCTCCAATAATTCAGCTAGAAGAAAACACATTAATGAGTGAACACTCAAATGAACCATCAGAAATTCGTTTTAATGATCAGTAAAATATTATTTTACCTTATAAAGATATTAAATATTTATTTTTCTAGTGCCTTTTCAATTCTTCAACAAATGGAGAATGAATCTAAAAGGCCACATGTCCTCTCACCTGTCCGTTCTATATCCGTTCTCGAGGCTGGCATTAGCAACCTTGAACAACAATCAGCACATATTAGGCGTTATCGACCATTTTCTCCCCATTCTTCGGGAAAGTCAAACCAACAGCAAAGACCAAAAATAGCAGACCGTCGGCGTTCGTCTGCTACGGTTCCATTGGCCCGCTCGAAAGAAGAATTGGAAAATTTACTCGTTTCGGCTAATATTGATCCAAACAAACCAGTTTGTTTTTTTAAATATTTTTAGTAAATTATTTTTAGGTTCGTAGCGTTCTTGTTGAAGCGGGGATTGGTTCAGAATTTAGTTCTGTTGGACGTCTTAAACCACATTTGGTTTGTCCACATGGTTTTCAAAATTTTTTGGAAGTACCTTCGACACATATGCTCGTTTTTGGTAATAATAATAACCAAATATTGACAAATTCAAGCCTACGAACAAGTGTTCCACCTTTAGCACCAAAATCTTCAACAGCTTTTGTAGTTACTAGCAGGCAAAGACGGCAAACAATTGTAACAACTTCAACTATTCATAACGAGGAACAGATACAAGTTCCTGTTGAAATTGGAACTTCCCTCTCTTTGGATGATTCTTTAATTAATTCTGTAGGTGCCAAAAACCGAGATGCATTGGTTAATTCAAATAATTCATTTGTCTCTTCCGGAGGTAATGCAGGTTTTTTGTTTAAAAATTAACGTTTATTTTAAAAATTAGAATGTACTGAAAGCAGAAACTCTCAAAAGATGCGCAGAGTTAGAAACGAAGGAGATATTATCAATGAAACCGTTACTTTTGCACAAATCCCATGTTCTTATAAAGGCTGTCAGGTTTGGATTTTCTTGTTTGTGGGGGTGGGGGATAACATTTCTGCCAAGTTTTTTCTCTAATATTTCAGAAAACATTTTCAAATAAAAGTTCAATGCGTAAACATCTCCAAATTCATGGGCCCAGACAACACGTTTGTCAGCAATGTCATCGTTCATTTATAGAACGTTCTAAATTAAAAAGACACTTACTGGTCCATTCGGGCGAGAAGCCATTTGTTTGCAATTTTGAAGGATGTACTAAGCGATTTTCTCTTGATTTCAATTTACGAACACATATTCGGACAGTTCACACAAACGATTCAGCATATCCTCGACATAAATCTAAAGGAACTTCAACAAAATTTAGAGAGACGAGAGGTGATGGTTTACCAAAACAGAAGCAGCAAGGATCCGGTATATATTTAACTTAAAGATTTGCCTAATGTCGGATTTCGGAAGGGGGTATATATTAGTGTGCGCTAATCCTTTCGTCTAAACGCTAAATTTTCACAAATTCCATGTTTTACATTTTATAATCTTACAGCTAAAGAGGAATTTTATTTTTTAAATTATTCTCATCCCCCCTCCTCCAACTACAGCCCAAGCTTCCAGAATACGTCATTGTTTAACACTTGTTATATATGTATTAATTGTAAATTTCAGTTAAAATAGAAATTAAGCAACAAAAGCAAACCGTCTTCGAATTTTTTGAAGGCAATGTCAGAGGATCCGATGGAATTGATGTACATTAAACATTAAATTTATTTTTAAACATTCTTAGAAAACTTTCATTCGTAATTTGTACAAAATTTATAAACAATATTAAAAGCTAATTCTGAATAAGATTAAAAGCTATTCTTAAATCGAACAAAAGAATTAGATATCTCGATGCGTAAAATAGAAAACTGAAAAAGGTTATGAATAAAAAGTAGTTAAACCCGGAAATGGTGCAAAATAAATTGGTAAATTTTGTGGAATGTGTGAATGATTGTATAGAGAAATGGTGTATAGAGAAACGAGTGGTGAATTTGAATCACTATACTGACCCCTAAATAAAAGTTCGGGGTGCATATTTTAGCCATCACCGCTGTTCCTCTAGCTAATACCCATGCTATTTAATTTTTCTACCAGAATTTTGTTATTATCATTATTTTCTGATTTTTCTGTCTTCTCCATTAATGACTGGTCACATTCACAGAGGGGCTCTTCATCTTTATTTTCCTTTGAGATAGTCATAGTAGGATGATGAGTTGCCCATTCTTGGATACTTGCTAAAGTCTAAGGATTATTTGAAAAATGTATTTAAGTAAACCTGAACCAAAAAATTGGAATAAAAGACCAGTGCTTATAAGAATAAAAGCCATTACCCAAAATGCAAATTGCCATTCTTGTTTTGTACCCTTAATATATATTTAAAATATCAAAAAAATCTTTTTACTTTAACAACGATTAGTCCAATCATATATGGCTATAAAATTAAAATGTAAAATTTAAAAATCTTTTTTTTTAATACCGATGCGACTGATGCAATTTGACCAAGTAATCGACTAAATGAAGCTATAGAAGAAGTATATCTCGGTGCTATACAAACAACACTTTGATTTAAAAAAATTTTTTAGAGAAATATATGTATGTAAATTATTTTGTAGAAACGGACCGAGATGAGATCCCAATCAAGTTTTAAATTTATACAAAAAATAGTGTTTTAGCCAATTTGTGTTTTGAAGTATCGAAAAATTTCAATGTAATTCTTTGAGATTCTCAAAGTCTGGTTGGTCTCTATATTACCTTGTATTATAACCAGGAATAAATCCTGAACTAAGACCAACAGCAGTAATTGCCAATCCGATAGCTAAATAAGGAGTTGAACAATCACAAAATGAAAGAAGTACAAAGCAAGCACCTGCACCAAAACTGCCTTTAAAAATACATATAATAATTTTTAATTAAAAAAAACCAATTAAATTAAATAATTTTGTGACAGCAGTAGAAGTCATTAATTCTTTACGTTTTATCCAATCACTCACTGCAGCAAACCATATTTTTGTAACAAGTTGAACGACAAAAGGCAATGCCGACATTAAACCATTCTAAAATAATTATTTGAGCATCTAATAAAATTAACTTTTTTAAGTAACCATAGGACTTTGACTGGTTACCCTTTTGATGTGATATATTTTAGGACAGGTTATTGCTGGTCAAAGTCCCAATTGACTATCTTTATTCGTATGTAATTTAACAATATTAAGGGCATTCTGCCTTTTTTGCAGAATGCCTTTTGCGGACATATGTATAGGCAGCTAGCTGTAACATATTAAAATAGAGTCTAACAATAAGTCATATATGTAATTACTTTGAAAGGGTTGCAAAATATAATATATAATGCAATAATTTTTAGTTATTTTTTAAATTTTTTACCGCTGTCAAATCCATTCCCAAAACATTTTGGTAATAAGTAGGTAAATAAACAACAATTCCAACATTCATAAAATTTTGACTAAAAGAACTCATACCAGTTGACCAAACAACTAAAGAAGAAAGAATTTTTCTCCATGGAACCTAAAAAAATTAAATTGAGATTAAAAAGAATTTTCTTTAAAAAACCTCTTTTGGATTAACTTTTCTTTGTAATTTTTGTTCCTTTAATTCATTAAAAGTTCCATCAATTTCTTGAATTAAACAAAGTTCTGCATGTTTAATTCTTTTACTATTTATTGGATAATCTCTAACAATTAATAACCAAACAATACAAAAAATAACGCCAATCACACCAAAATAATAATTTTAAATAAAAAAATAATTTTTTTAAAATAAAATACCATAAATATAAAAAGCAGATGCCCAACCACCCAAAAACTCCAAAACACAAAGTTCAGCAGTTAGAAACATTGCAATAATAACAGAAATTTGATTGCCTGTTGTGGATATTGCTATCGCTTTAAATTTTAAATAAATAAAATAGAAAAAGTATTTTATAAAATTATTTTTACCTGTACTTTTTTCAGCAAGTGGAAACCAATGAGCTATAAGAACATTAACACAAGGGACTAATATACCCTTAAAATATTTTTAAAATTTTAATTCAATCCTTCGAACAAAAAATATAATTTATGGTACTATTCGCAATATACCGCCACATGTCCGTAGATATTTGTCCGCAGAAATTTCTCCTTTTTTCTTCCCTACTCTGAAAAAGATTAAAAATAGTTGAGGGCAACTGAACATTTTTTTAAACTTTATCAGTGGAGAAAAGGAAGGGAAACCTTTGCGGATAAGTGGTGTATAACGGCAATAGTACCTACTAATTTATTTACCTGTCCACAGCCCATCAAAAAGCGGACAAAAGCCAAAGCCATAGGTTTCATTTGTCGTGCAATAAAAGGTGTTATAAAAGTGCCTAAAAATAATTTTAAAAATAATTTTTAAAAAAATTAACCGATAACATTTAACAAAGCCCCGTGAAATACTAATTGAGTTGGACCTAACCAATCACAAAGAAATGATCCAGGTAAAATTATAATTAAACCACCCAAATAAAAAGAAGTAAAAATTAAAGATTGTTGTTGTTTTGTAATTATTAAATCTCCGCCAATCTTTAAAAAAATTTTTAATTTTAATTTAATTAAAAAATAGACAAACATAATCAATAACACTTTTATTTTCTTTTTCAAAAGAATTTTTACATTCATTTTGTATTTCTTTTAAAATTTGTTTTTCTTCAATTTTTAAAGAATTATTAAAATTTAATTTAAATTCTTCTTCCAAAATAGCTGTTCTATTAACCATGCAAACCATTGCCTTAAAAAAATAAAAATCTTTTTAAAAAAAAACTTTTCACAAACCATATTTATATTACTCCTCATTAAACCTTCAATTGCCAGTGAAAGTGCTAAAGAAATTGCTATAGCTAATCGAACACTTGAAAAAGACCAAAGACGTGGGGGAGGAGGAGAAACAGTTGATTCTGATTCCATTTTTTTCTTTAAAAAATTGTTTTTAAAATTTTAAAAATCTAAAAAATATTTTTTAAAAGAAAAAAAACCAATTAAAATATTTATTTGTAATTAAAGGGTATAATCTAAAAAGTTATTTTCTTTGCTTCCATGGAAACGAAAAAAAGCGTAAAGGGGAAAATATAATCTTGAAAGGTATTTTCTCTCTAAAAAATTCTTTGCTAACTCAAAAAAAATTTTAAAAAGTCTGACAAACCTTTTAAACAAAATTAAGAAAAAAATAAAAGTAAATTTATTTTTTTAAAAAACTAACAAACAATAAATATTCTTATTAAATAATTCTAATATTTTAAATATATTTAAATAAATATCTTTCCTTCCTATAATAATTTTGTTAAAATCTCCAACTCAATGTCATTAGAATCTGAAAAATAAATAAATAAAAAAATAATTTATATAAATATTTTACCTTTATTAACAAATTTCTTTAAATTTTTTTCATCACTTTCTTCATCTCCTTCCTCTTCTTCTTCCAAATTATTTCCCAAATTTATTTTATCATTTAAAAATAAATTTAAATTTGGTTCAGACAAATTTAACTTCAAAATATTTAAAAATCGGCAACAATCCTCTTCTTGTAAAGCTCTAGCATCATAACATAAAGTTAAATTTAAACTTTCATTTGTCGATCCAATTGTGAGGATTGATGTTTGTGGGGGAGTTATAATTGAAGTAAATTTGGAAATATTTAATTTTGATAAATTAAAAATACTTTAAAATAAAATTAAAAAAATAATTATTTTTAAAAAATACCTAAATGTCCTCTCCATTTCTTCTTTCAAATTTTTATTTTCTTTTAATAATTTAGCAATCATTTCTAAACCAAGTTTGTCAGCAAAATTAAAAATAATTGGAATTTTGTTTTCATCCAAAATTGAAATATTGATATTTGTAGATTTTTGTAAATAATTATTTTCATTCCAAAAAACATTAATTTCTGGCACAGACTAAAAGAAATTTACTTTAAAAAATTTAAAGAAAAATTTCGAAAAACTTTTAATGCCTGTGCACACGAATAAACAACAAAACTTTCAATTGGAAAGTCAACAGAAGAGAAAAGTTTTAATTGATTACTCAATTTTTTAATTTTTGAAAAAGAAACATTTGTAGATAAATAAGAATGAGGAATCTAAAAATAATAATTAATTAAAAATTAATTAAAAAAATAAAAACTTTTGAATGTTTCTCAATAAATTCTTTTTGTTTAAAAGAAAAAGGAATTTCGGGAAAAGATTGTTTTTGTTTGTCTTTTAACAATTTATCTTTTGTTGATAATTTATTTTGTTGTTGTAAAGATATTGGAGTTAAATTTGTATCAAAAATATATTTAAGGACATCACTAAATAAATAAATAATTTAAAATTAGTTAAAAGGCAAACCTTTTTAAAATATTACTTTTTGGTCCAGATCTTTTTTTAATATTTTCTAAATTTAAATTATATTTTAAAAGAAGTAATTTAACTGCAGGGCCTATTAGAATTGAAGAAATTGGGGAATGTTGCAAATTAACACATCTCGAAATTGTCGGAAATCGAACAATTGAAGAATTAACAAAAATCATCTAAACACAATTTGCAAATTTTTTAAAATAATCTTTTAAAAATAAAAAAAGAAATTTTTTTATTTCCGCACTCAAATGATATGTTTTTATATTTTAGTGGACAGTTTGATATTAATTACAGTATACCAATTGCCGTTTTTCTCATAAAATTTTTTAAAAGAAATACTTTTATTTCATGCATCGACATTTTTTTGCAAAATTTAGGATGTTACATACAATTTTTTACAAAATTACTAAAAATCGTCATCTTCATTGCTGAGATTGGATAATAATAATGATAACATTTGTGGCTGTATTTGTTTGGTCAAAGCAACGAAGACAAAAAGCTATACTATAAAAGCCAGACTTTTTCCCTCACTTCAGCTCCATTTCAACTCAACTATAAACTTGCCTTCTACTGTCAACATTCCTGCGTCGACTTCGTTTCGGGAGGACTTCATCGAATATGGACAGTAGCCGTTCTAATAAAGGACGAACAAAGGAAAAGAAGGTTATTTTTTAGTTTAAAATTATTTTTAAAATCGAAAATAATTCTTTTATTTTTAGCCTAATCTATTGGTCAAAGCTGCAAAAAGTGCTCGACTTCCGCCCGCATGTGCCTGTTGTAAGGTGGTAAAGGCAACAAGAACTGCAAGATCGTCATCTTCGTCGCTGAGATTGGACGAGAATGAGAAGATTTGTGGCTGTACTTGTTTGGTCAAAGCAACGAAGACTGCAAAACATCCTTTGGTCGCAGATGATGAAACCATAAATGGCGAGGACAACATAAATTCTGACAACAACAATTCCTTCCGTGGGATACAGCGTCGAATGAATGAAAAGTCTTCGGTGCGTTTATTTTAAATATTTAAAATTTCTAAACAAATTATTTTAGCTTCGCAGAATGTTCTCTGTGGTAGCTTCTTCACGTGGTCGAGGACAACGTACACCATCAGTATCTTCGACACAAGAAGAACAAGAAGGAAGCAAGGACGAAGTTGACAACAGCAAAGTAAAGAGAAGCAGTCGTCTACCACCAAGAGGAGGATTAGCTCAAAGAGGCGGTACGAGTAGAAGAGCTGCTGTTGTCAAAGGAACAAGGACTGCTATAATACCTCTGGATGACGAACCATCATTGCGTTTCATTGACGCACAGTCAGAGTGTTCTCAAGTTTACGACTATTCTGTTGAAGAGTCAGAACCTCTATCTTGGCAGGAGAAATCAATGCGCCTTCCGTTGCCGGAGAAGTACAGCGACATTAGATCTACGTGTAGTGGTAGGAGCTTCTTCAGCGCAGCACGTCCATTGCATCCTAGCGCGGTAGATTATTTTCGGATTATTTACAAATCTAATTCATTAAATTTCCAGGTGAAGGTGCACAGTGTGGACAAGTTCCTTGCTGAAGAAGAAAAGAAGGAAAGGGGAGCGAGACCTTGCTGTTTTAGTGCAGCACTGAGGGAACAGATGTTGCGATCGAGAAAGGGGTCTTGTAGTGTTGTCAAGGAATCTGCCGCCGAGAAAGTAATTTTTAATTGAATATGCTAAAAATAATAATTATATATTCAATTTTTAGACTCAATCTTCATCTGAATATGCTGGTGGACATCATCAGAGTTGTCCAAAGTCGTCTGGCAAAAGTGAAGATATTGAGGCAGGTACACATCGCTTCTATGGGCTGGAAGTTGTTGGTCAGATATTCCGGGTGTTAGTTGATGGTAAAGAACTGTGGACGGCACACGATGGAAAGTGAAAAAGAAGAAAGGAATGAAAATCTAATAAATAACAAAAATAAATAACACTTGTATGTATGTATTAGGCTAAATCTTTTTTCCTATCTTGTATTCATCCCGTTATTTTGTTGTTTTGCTATCATATGTATAAGTTATGTAAATAAATGTATATAAACTTTGGAAGATTTCTTGCATTGTGTTTACCGAAAATCCATAAAAATCCGGCAGCAAAATAAGCAGAGAAAAATGCGGTAAAATATGCGTTATGCTTATTTTCCAGATCTTTCCGAGTTTAGTAAAAGCGAAACACATAATTAGGTATTAGCCTAGTTACTAGGTGGCTGGCATCCATTTAAACTTTTACCATCTTATTCTTTTTATTTACAAATACTCTTTCAAAGATTCAAAATTTGGCATTTTGTATGAAACATTTTAGCGATTTCCCTGTTCGCAAAATACTAAAATATTAACATAAAATTACACAATAAGTAGCATTAAAAGAAAGAAGCGGAATTTTGCGGGTTCCTTTCCACAGTTTAATTTGTACTAGGGATTGTGGATTACAAATAGAATTTTTAAGGGACACGCCCAAGTAGGCGTGCGGCCAGGTAGGCGCAAAGCCATAACTATCTGGAAAATTTCTGGACCTTAACGATTTTGGTACCAATCTCTTTAGCTCGATGAGAGGAATCGTTTAATGCTAAATTTAATAAGATTCGAAAATCTTGAAGCAAGTTATGGCTCTGCGCCTACTTGGCCGCGCGCCTACTTGGGCTGTACCCGAATTTTTAAGATTTGTTTTGAAATTTCTTTTTTTATGACCAATCCAAATAATAAGCGAGAAATATTTGCCAAAATGAGAAATAAATACAAACAAATATATTTTACTTATATTCACTTCAATTTTAAACTATAAAATTATTAATTTTTATAAGTAATTAATTCTCCATCTAAAAATTAATTTTTTTCCTTCATTTATTTAATTTTTATTTAAATCCATCCCCATTTTTTCATATCAGAAGAGGCCTTGGTAAATAATTCTTCCCATTCCTTTTTTTGTTCAGCGCTTAATCCCCCAGCATATTTTTGCATTATTGCCAACCAAGCATCTTTTGTTTTCTTTAAAAAAAAGAAAGATTTATTTTTGAAATTATAAACTTACAATAAAATTAGATAAAGGAACATCACTGTCACTGTAATGTTCTTTAACATTGGAAAGAGAAGAACGCCAAGAACGTTCATCTTTAACATGTTCAGGTAATTGCATTAAAGCCTAAAAATTAATTTAATTAATTTTTAAAAATGAGAGAACTTGTATTTCATTCATTGCCATCATTATATAACGTTGTGACCTTCCAACCTATTTAAATTAATTATATTTAATTTATTTATTTTTTACTGTTTCTGGATCAACACCTCCATAAGCATCAGCAACATCAGAATGTTTAGAAAAAAGTCTTTAAAATTTAAATTTTCTTAAAAATTAATTAGTTTAAACTCTTTGTAATAATCGGCGGCAGCATCCTTTCCTAATTTAAATTGTTGTATTTGCTTTTTAAGTAATTCACCGTTAACCATTTTTAAAGTAAATTTAAATAAAAATAATCTTCTAAAAATTAAAAAAAAAACTACTTATTTTTTAATTAAAATTAGTATTTAATCCAAAAAATATTTTCACCAATTTAGAGTATTCTTTAGGCTTATTTGAAGGCCTATAAAGTTTGTTTGATGCCCTTAATCCAAAATATATATAAAAATCTAGATAATTTTTCAATTTTTTAAATAGTATGTACTAATATTGCAATAAAATAATTTTATTTAATTAAAGTGCAAATATTAAATTACAATTAATTAAAATTAAAAAAACTTTTTAAAAGTGTGTGGTCATTTTAAAAGTGAAGTTTTTCCGAAAATAATTTAAAAAATAAAAATTAGTATAAAGAAAATTTCAGCCACCTTAGCCATCAAAAACGAAAGAAAACTAAAAAAAAGTTTTCGATTCTGAAAATATATAAACATATTTTTACAGAAAATCAAAAAAAAATATGACCAGGATTACGTCAATTTACAAATTTTAAATATACCTAATCACGTTTTTAAGGAATCCTTGTGATTTTAAAAATCACAAAATATAAAAAAAAAGAAAAACAAAAGTTAAGTGCAAATTAATTGTTAAATAAGTTTTTTTAAATAAAACAAACAAAATTCTTTTTTTTATTTAAACAACAGTTGTCGAATTATGGCATTTAACCAATTTATTTGGCTGGTCAACAAAAATTTTTTTTTCTTTTAACGTTTAATTGGTATTTATTTATATAATTAAAATCACACATTTCCAGAAAATTCTTAAACATACATATATCTACTTTAAAAAAAAGAAAAGAAAATAAAAATTGTAAAAAGATTTTATTTTAAAATTAAAGAGAAAATAAAATAAAAAAATATTTTTAAAAATTATTTTTAATTATTTGTAGCTGTATTAGAAACAGATTTACGTCGAAGTCTGCTAAGCCAAGAATTGCCCGCTTTCTTAACAGCTTTGGGCATTTGTCCGACATTAGAAAATTGATCAGAAGTATTTTGTTGTTGTTGAGGATCGTCCTTTTTTAAAAAATATTTAAAAAGATTACTCAATTAATTGAAAGAAAGGGGGGGGTTGATCAAATATTAGATACATTATTTATTTACAAAATAGTGTTTTTTAACTCTAGTGAATGATATGCATCCTATGAGAATTACTTTAAGACTTGTAAATAAAGGGCTCCCCCTCTTATTGTGGAATTTCTATATTTCTGTGGAACTTATGTCTAAAGGGAAGTATTTGCTTTTAAAACAAACAATTATTTGATGTGTATTTGTAGAATTACTACCAACAGCCTTAGGTAATCGACTTGTACTTGCTGAACGATTTCCGCCATAATTTGATGGAAATGGAGATTTTGACTTTAAAAAAAGCAAATAAAATTAAAAAAATAAAAAACTTTAATATTTTCATTATTTAATTGTTTTGGGGTTGGGGAACGGCTTCCTCCCCCTGTACAAGCACCAGAACGAGTTAAAGGTCTTCGAGTAGAGGAAGTTGGGGGAGGAAAATTAATTAAATTATTATTTTGTATTTTATTAGAATAATTATTAAATTTTGAAGAAGAAATTAATTGGTGGTTGTGATTGTTGTCGATTAGTAAATTCTGAAAAATAAAAATAATTTTTATTGAAGAAAGGAAGGGAAATTAAAAATTAAACTTTATTAAATTGTGGAAGTTTAGTTTGACTTCCACTTCTACTTATTGTTGAAGAATTTAATAATAAAGAGATTGGAGGTGCTGAAGGTGTTGGTGGATGTAAAATTGATGATTTAGTAATAAAATTAGTATTTTGTTTTTCTGTTGATTTTGAAGAAATTAAATTTTGAATTTTTAATGAACAACTTTGTTAAAAAAATAATAATTTTTTAATTAAAAATTAATTTAAATTTAATACTTATTTTCCAAATCATATTCATTTTTTGTTGTAGAATTTTGTCTAACAAGTATTGGACGTGAACGGTTATTTAACTTTAAAAATAAAAAAAATAATTATTTAATAAAAAAAACTTTTTGTTCATTAAAATAATTATTTTGTAAATATTTATTTGTAAATATTGGAGTGCCAGAAGGGGAATAATTTGGAATAAATTCATTTAATAAATGTTTGTTAATATTTTGTTGTTGTTTTGGTGGGGATGAAGGTGGGGGAAGTGGGAAAAGGAGTGGTGGAGGGGAGGAAGTAGATGATTGTAACCATTTAAATTGCTGATTATTTTGTGAATTTGTAGTAAGAGTAATGTTTCCTTCAAAAAAATATAATTTTTTAAATTAAATTCTGTACTATTGGATTATCTCCTTACACTTTATTAACCTTTCTTTCCTTTCCCCACAAAAAATACATATCGTGAGTCAGCAGTTTCTGCAATTAGACCTATGTCAACTACATATGTGTGTTTCCCGCTACTATTTGCAATAATGTTTAATCTATTGCCATAAAGAAATAAGGAGCTCTACTCGCCCAGAGTTATGGCACACACGCGCGTTACCTGACTATTGGCTCGAAAAAAGAAAAGCTAGATACTTATTGCATAGATCGTCATAATCCTTTAACCCCAGTGTAATTTTTTGAAAAAGGAAAAATATTTAGGGAGATAAATCAATTAGTACCAAAAATTCTTTACTACCCACCACTTTGTGTTTTTCTTTGTAAAATTTTTCCTTTAAAATTTTCTGTTGAAAATTGTTGTTGTTGTTCTTTAATTATTTTTGTTTTTGAATTAATTATTTGTTTATTTTCTTCTTTATTATCACAAATTCTAGATAAATTCCAGGCAGAATCAAATAAACGTAAAAATTCCATTTCAATACTCTTTTAAAATTTAATTAAATTAAAATATTTATTTTAATTTATAATTACTTGTTCATTAAATTCAACTAAAGAATCAAATCCAATTGTTTGTTTTCTTTTATTTTTTTGTTGTAAATATAATTTAGATGGAAGGAAATATTTAATTTTTGAATTAGAAATTCTTTCAATAAAAGATGTTCCATTAAAGGAAATTGAACGGCGATTGAGAAATGTTGAATATTGTTTTTTAGAAGGGTTTTCTATTTGTAATTGAAAATGTTGTCTTTCTATCTTTAAAAAAAAGGGGGGGGGATTAATTAAGTATATCCAATTTAGTACTTGTAAATTAGCAATTAATAATTGCCCTTTTAATATATTTATTTCCAATTCATTTTGAAATTCATCAAAACATTTTCTTGACAATAAAGAACGCATTTGCCCTAATTTTTTAACAAGTCCAGCAGCAAAAGAATATAAGGCGTCGTAAGAAGGAATTAATTCAAAATAATTATTATTTATTTGCTGATTATTATTTTGAATTAAATTAAATATTTTTCTTTGAAGTTTTTCTACTTGTTCTAATGCTTCTTGTAAAGCCTTTTTTAAAATAAATTATTTAATAAAAAAGTTTGGGGGATTTTAATAAGTTTTGTTGTGAATGAACAAAAAAAACTCATTAATAATTAAATAGGTTTAAAGGCTAGTTAATAGTTATTATTGTTCTGTCTTTCCGGTCTACAACCCCCCTCTCTTGAATTATACTTTATATACGTATTAACCCTTTGTGTATTACACGTGTGCTCGTCGGCTCTGGCAAACCCTCGGATAAACATCAAACACAACAACAACCATACCTCAATTTAAAAAACATGTTTTTTTCGCTAGGAGGGAAAAGGGATGTCTAAACGATACCTCTACATATTTTCAAAACAAACTTATTACAATTTTAATTTCTTTTACATAATAACTTCAATTAAAATTTAACTAATATTTTCTGTAATTAATTAATTAAAATTACTTGCCTGTTTATCTTTAATGTTGGAATTTAAATTAATTTTCTGATATTTTTGTGTTTCTAATTTAATTATTTGTAATTGTTCATTAATTTGTTTATTTATTTTTTCATTTAATTTTTTTATATTTTCTTCAATTTCGCAAAATAAAATTGTTTTAAAACAAATATTTCCAATTTTTTGGTTAAAATATTGTTGAGATTTTAATTGTTTTAATTCTTTTATTAAATTATTTATTTTTGAATCTGATGAAGAAATTAAAGATGATTTTTCTCTAAGTTGGTCAATTAATCGAGCATTTCTTTTGTTTTTAATTAAATTAATTTAAATTATTAAATTCTAATTAATTTACCTAGATTTAAGTAATTGGATTTCTAATTTAATATCATCATTTTCTGAATTTTGTTGTTGTCTTTGATGGTGATTATTACTTTAAATTAAAAGTTTATTTTGATGCTAATATGTACATATCAAGAATTCCTCATCCATCCTACTACAAATCCTTCTCCTTCTACCCCCCCCCCCCTTCTCTCCATTTTTTAAAAGCTTTAAGTATTTATCTTAATTTTTTATAACCCCATGCCGGAACCCTATGCCTGTACCGCCCAACCCTATGAGTAAAGCGGCCTATTCTAGTCACTGATTCTAGTCATTAGTTTTCCCCGATTCCTTAGAGTTCAAGTAAAAGTTCCAAATGAGATCCAACATAACAAAAATTTATTTTCAAATTTTTTTTTATTAAAAAATTTTTTTCGATTTTCGTTTTTCGATTTTCGAGGTTATTTTTCTTTCGATTTCCGATTTCGAAAATTTTGAAAAATATTTTCGATTTCCGATTTTCGAAGATTTTTTTGTTTCGAAACACCTCTGATCCCTCTCCCCCTACATACTTCGATTTCCCACTATTTAACAACTTAAATAAATATTAAATAAATAACAAACACAATCTTAATTCTAAATTTTCCTTCTTTATCTTCTTTACAAAAATCTTTAATTATTAATTTATTATTATTCTTATTTGTTTCCAAAAAACAGCTTTGTGGACGTTTAGTATTATTTTTATTATTTCTACATTTAATTAAAAATTGTTGTTTATTAGAGGAAGGTTCTGATTCTATTTTTATTTGACTATCTGTTAAATTCCCCCCTCCTCCTCCCCCGGAAGAAGAAGAATATCCATCTGTATTTTCATTAGAAAACATTAATAATGCTGTTGAATGCCTTTTATTATTTCCTCCCTCTTCATTTTCTTCATTTTTTCCTTTTCTTCTTTTTTTATTTCCACCCCCAACTTTCCGTGTATTAATTACTAAATTATCCACAATTTTTGATATTGATGATTGTTTATTTAAATTATTATTTAATTGTTTTCTCCATTGATTTCGCCTAGAAGAAGCACCAAAACCAAAAAGTTCAAGAAGACTATTTTTTGAAGAAGTCATTAAATTATTTGAATTTATTGGAGGTTCTACCTTTAAAAAAAGAGAGAAATGTTTAAACTTAAATTTAAAATAACCGAAGAACTTGCACTGCTACTTCCTACAGAAAGGCTTGTTCCTGAAGTTAAGGAATTTGAAAGACGAAGAAATTGTTGTTGTTGTTGTTCATCTGCACGTCTTTCCATTTTACGTCGATGATTAAAATTTGAATTATTTAAATCTAAAAATTGAAGATTTTTTCCTTATTTCCTCTTTATTTTTTTAACCTTTTTCACAGTTCTCCAATTCCCATTCATCATCAAATAATAATTCAGATTCAGCCAATTTTGGTTGATTATTTATTTGATTATTTAATGCAAAATTTTTACGGCAAAGTCCGGAAGAATCTGAGGAAAGATCGGCAGAATAAGCACTTACTGATAAACTATTTACACAACCAATCTTTTTTTAAAAAAATAAAAATAGGTATATTTAAATAAAGATATTGAAGCAGGGCTAACTAAGCTTTACCTTTCTTACTACTATATTTAATAACAAGTATCATTAAAAGTTAGATCAACTGTCACAATAATTAAGTTGGTTTATTTAACGAGGTAAAACTTTTATTTGAAGCTACAACACCTAGGGTACAAAGTTCTAACCATGACCATATTATATTTTGATAAAAAATCATTTTTTTACTTTATTTATTGGAGGTAAAGGACTAAGCTGTTCCTGTGCCCCTCTACTTCCACCACTTCCACTCATTGTTAAAAATCTTCCACCAATTGTGCCTTCTCCTCCTCCTCCTCCATTACAGTTATTAATTAATAACCTTTTTTGCCTTGAAAATAATTCACTAACTGCAGAAGAACAACTTGTTGAATTTCCGGAAGATTTCTTTAAAGAAAAATATTTTTGTTTATTTTCAAAAAAAACTTGTAATAAAGGAAAACAAAAACTGTTTGTTGCTTCTCCATCATTATTTGTTGTTTTTGTAGATAAATTATTTCCAACATTATTAAATAAACGTTTACTAGGTAAAGAACAAATAGCTGCTGTACATCCACTTTTAATTAAATAATTTGATAATAAATTATTTTTATTTTTATTTAAAATTTCTTTTTTATTTTCTTCTTCTCCTTCATCTCCTTCTCCATCTTCTTTATTTTTTAATTTATTTTTATTTTTTAAACGATGTTTTAAACGATTATTTTGTTTTTGTAATTTTGTTATTTCGCCAAGTAATGTACACAATGTTCCTTTAAAAATAATATTTTGGTATTTCCAGTGAAGATTTAGTTGGTTGTAATTTCGTTAGTATTATCTAATCACGTTAATTTTGGTGTCAATCGAACGAATTAGCTGTCATTGAGCTGCCCCCACAAATGATTTTTAAATTTTAGGGTGCTTGTATTTCCGATCATCGATAGTGATACTCGGCTTAGACCGACGAGACGAATCGGAAGATTGCGGGGATAATTTGAGGGCATACCAGAAAAGTACCCAATATTTTTTTAAATAATTTCAAAAACAAAACCGAGCATTACTGCTGGTTGTTGTTCCTCATTTTCTATTAATTTTTGTTTTTCATTAGAGGAATTTAAAGTTTGGTTATTATTTAATTTATTTAAATTTTCTTCTTCACATTCTGCTTGCATTTTCTCCTTTAAAATTAATTTTTTAATAAAAATTAATTTTTAAAAATACCAATTCTTTTAAAAATGCTTCTTCTTCAGCCTCATAACTTTAAATATTTAAATTAATTTTTAAACAAAAAAAATTTTTTTAATCTTAAGGAATGTATAGGTATGTATATTGCTTATTAACTCAAACATAAAATTCCCCCCAAAAAATATTTATTTTTTTAAAAAACCTAGCAATAATTGTTCGAATTGAACGACGTCTTTCAAGTTCTGCTTTTCTTTGTTGTTGTCCATCAGAAGAAGTTATTTTTGTATTTTTTGTATTATAATTACTAGCCATTTTGTATATTTTAAATATTTATTGAATAAAATAAATGACCAAAATAATTATTTTTTCTCAAAACTTTCTTCAATAAAGCAACTGTTTAAAATCTTTTATTCTTTTAACTAAATCTTAAAAAGAATTTAAAGAAGATATTTATTTAGATTGTTGTGGTCAATAAATAAATAAATAAAAACACCGGAAACTTGGAACACTCTTTACAAAACGGAAATTAATTCTCTTGAAAAATGCCAAAAATTTTTTACTAAAATAGTTTTTAAGAAATGTAATTTACCTGAACTACCCTATGAGAATAGGTTGGAATATCTTAACCTTCAAACACTTGAGAATAGACGTAAAATTTTTGATTTAATGCTTATGTACAAAATAGTTAATGGTTATTCTCACTTAGGACTTGAAACACTATTTTCTCATCCTATTAGAAAATCTAGCCATTCATCTTATAGAATTATTTCAAAAAAACAAAATTCTAAAAGTTCTAGATCATTTATAAATAGAACAACTAAAATGTGGAATATACTAGGTAAAAATACTATTTTAAGTAAATCACCATTAGATTTTAAAAATAAACTTAAGTCAATACTTATAGTATAAATAAACTGAATGTTCTTAAAAAAATTAATTAAACTCATCCATTCTATCTCAAAAAAATACACAGTCAAAAAAACTTTTATTTTTCGTCTAAATGGGCTTTGCGTCTAAGTGGCAAAATTAAATTACCTTGCGACTAAATGGTCAATTAATTTTTAAATTTTCGCGTCTAAATGGTCAAATTAATTTTTATTTTCGCGCCTAAATATTCAAATTAATTTATTTTATTTTTTGCGCCTAAGTGGGCTTGGCGTCAAAGTGGCCTAATCGATTTATTCCTTATGCTGTTGTTTGTACTTTTTTATACTCTAGCATTTCTTAGTTGTTTGGATTTTTAATTTAAAAATTTTTTTTTTATTTTAGACTAAAATAATCTTAAAATTAAATTTACTATTATTTATTTTGCTGTTTTTTCAGGTTTTTTTTTTATGTTTTATTTAAAATAATACACAGATATACATCTAGGCTAAATAATCTTAAAATTAAATTTACTATTATTTATTTTGCTGTTTTTTCAGACTTGCATGCCTGGTGTTAAACGTAACGCAGTTCACTTCTCACCAGTGCAATTTGACAGCCAAAAGCAAAAAATGTCTTCTTCAGACACCTTTACCCAACTTGCTGACCAATTAGCAGCAATTGGTAAACAAATGGAAAGCAACAGTGGAACGGATAATGCGACAACAATGCAGCAAATGTTTCAATTTTGCACCACATTATTGACTCAAATGGCTCAACAACAAAATTTAATTATGGAACAACAACAAACTATTCAAAAACTTCAAATGCGTGACACTTTCCTGGAACTCATTGAAGATGAAAAACAACAAAAATCAGTCGTCATCACCAATCTACCCGAAAGTAATTGTGAACATGCTAAGGATCGTGTGGCAGAGGATTTTGAAAAAGTTAAAGAAATTCTTGATGTCTGCGATGTGGAATGTAAACCAAGTCAAGTTTACAGAATGGGAACGATTACTGGAAGGCCACGACTTTTGAAGGTGGAATTACCAACGAGGTTTTTTACAAGAAATTTTTTGTTAAATAAATCGAAATTAAAAAATTCGAAATTTAATAATTTATTTGTTCGTAAATCGTTGTCTAAGGCTCAGCGAGTCGAACGGTCTAGGCTTATTGAAATTTGCAAAACTTTGCATTCCCAAAATCCCAATTCCGATCATGTTATTTATGCTGACCATGTCCTGTCCGCTAAGGACATCCCCTTATTTAAATCTAATCCCAAAAATTTTAAATGTGTTTGCCACAATGCATAAGGAGTAAGGGATGGCCACTTTAATACTCACCAGTTAACTAAAAATAAAAATTTTTCAAAAAATAAAATAAAAAGTGGTTTAATAAATATAAGATCTGTTAGAAATAAAATGGATGAGTTGTTAATTAGTTTAAGAACACTAGGTTTAGAAATGCTGTTTATTACTGAAACCTGGTTAAAAGATGAAGACATAAATTTATTTGAGTTCAAATTTTCAGAATACTATAATATTGTTTATATTAATAGGAAATCCAAACTAGGTGGAGGATGCGCAATACTATTAAGTAAAAATATCACATTTTATGAAAAAGTAAAAATATCCAAATTCAACTCAGAAATTATTTGTCTTCAAATAAATAATTTTAAAAGATTAAATATAATATTGATTTATCGACCACCTAACACAACATACGCTAGTACTAAATCTCTTTTTAAGTATATTGAAACGCTTTGTACTGAAAATTGTATAATCTTGGGTGACCTAAATTTCGGTCTCAGAGATTTAAGTTGGTTCAATTTTACACCTTATGCTAAATCTAAATTTGGGGAGTGTTTTATTGATTTTTTTAATAGAAATGCATTAACATCAGTCACACCCGCACCTAGCAGAAATAATTCATACTTAGATTTAATAATGATTACAAACAATAATTTAGTTTCAGACATTTTAGTTGAAGGGGGGATCTTTTCTTCAGATCATGAAACATTATTATTTAATATTAATTGCCCAATAATTAAACAAAATGAAAATATAATAAAAAAAAGATTTTATAATAAGAATAAAATAAACAATTTAAATTCATATTTGTCCCTATTACTAAAAAATACTATTTATACTGGGTTTCAAATTGGGGACAAATATAATAAAATTGTTAATTCAATATTAAATTCGTTTGAAATTTTCATCCCTGAACATACTATAACCAAAAAAGATCGAAGAATAAAATATCCCGCTCACTTAAAAGCTTCGATAGCTGAGAAAAAAAGATTATACAGGTTACAAAAAATTAATAAAGAATATAAATCAAAATATGACAGTATATCTCTATATATTAGAATCGCAATAAAGAATTTTATTAGTAAACAACAAAACAAAATCATTTCAAATAATCCACTTAATGTTTATAAATATGTCAATAAAGTTTATAAAAATAATAGAGATATACCAGTTATATTATATGAGGATAAAGTCTATATTGAGAATTATGAAAAAGCAGAACTCTTTGCAGAAATTTTTCACAAAAATTTTAACAACGTTAACTCTAATGTTTCTCCCAATGATATTATTGCTAGCGATAATTCAGATACTACTGATGTTTTGAATGATATTGATATCACAAGTATTGAAGTTTATGAAATCCTGAAAGCGTTACCATCAAAAAACAGCGCTAGCCCGGATGGCATAAATTATCTTATGTTAAAAAATATAAGCATAATATTGGCACCTTATTTATCTGAATTATTTAGAGTTTCATTGGATGAAGGCATTATACCTGACATATGGAAAAAATCAATAGTTATTCCCATTTTCAAAAAAGGCGAGAAATCTAATCCCTTAAACTATCGTCCAATTTCACTTACTTGCTGTAGTTGCAGAATCATGGAAAAAATAATTGTAAAAAATATAGTTAATTTTTTAGACAATAAAAATTTTTTTAGCTCGGATCAATTTGGATTTATTCGTAAAAGATCCACTACAATTCAGCTAGTAAGTAGTTTGGAGGATTGGTATGAAGCCTTATTTGAAAAAAAGAATATAGATTGTATTTATATTGATTTTTGTAAAGCTTTTGATAGTGTCCCTCACAAGCTTCTTCTTGATAAATTATATGCCTGTGGAATTAAGGGGAAAATACATAAGTGGATTAGCGAATTTTTATCGAATAGAACATACCAACTAAAAATTAATGACGTATTATCAAAACCATATGGAATTAGTACGGGAGTTCCACAAGGATCGATTATTGGCCCATTAATGTTTCTAATTTATATAAATGACTTATCTAATGTTATTCCAAACGGCGTTAAAATTAAACTATTTGCTGATGATGTTAAAATTTATAAAGTTTATAAGACTAAAAATGAAAGATTAGAATTAGCAGTTGCCCTTAGAAATGTTGAAGAATGGTCAAAAAAATGGAAATTAGACATATCAGTTAATAAGACATTCGTGCTTCATCTGGGTAAAAACAATCCTAAGGACCAATATAAGATTTTTAACAATACTATAAATGAGGTTCAATCTATTCGCGACCTTGGAATATGTATTGATAACAAGCTTAGGTTTAAAGAACATATTAACATAATTATTCGCAACGCGTATCTAAGGATGAAAACAATCTTTAGAATAATAAAGTCAAAAAAAACAGCAACTTGGATACTAATATATAAAAGTTATATAAGACCTATGCTTGAATATGCACCGGAAACTTGGAACACTCTTTACAAAACGGAAATTAATTCTCTTGAAAAATGCCAAAAATTTTTTACTAAAATAGTTTTTAAGAAATGTAATTTACCTGAACTACCCTATGAGAATAGGTTGGAATATCTTAACCTTCAAACACTTGAGAATAGACGTAAAATTTTTGATTTAATGCTTATGTACAAAATAGTTAATGGTTATTCTCACTTAGGACTTGAAACACTATTTTCTCATCCTATTAGAAAATCTAGCCATTCATCTTATAGAATTATTTCAAAAAAACAAAATTCTAAAAGTTCTAGATCATTTATAAATAGAACAACTAAAATGTGGAATATACTAGGTAAAAATACTATTTTAAGTAAATCACCATTAGATTTTAAAAATAAACTTAAGTCAATACTTATAGTATAAATAAACTGAATGTTCTTAAAAAAATTAATTAAACTCATCCATTCTATCTCAAAAAAATACACAGTCAAAAAAACTTTTATTTTTCGTCTAAATGGGCTTTGCGTCTAAGTGGCAAAATTAAATTACCTTGCGACTAAATGGTCAATTAATTTTTAAATTTTCGCGTCTAAATGGTCAAATTAATTTTTATTTTCGCGCCTAAATATTCAAATTAATTTATTTTATTTTTTGCGCCTAAGTGGGCTTGGCGTCAAAGTGGCCTAATCGATTTATTCCTTATGCTGTTGTTTGTACTTTTTTATACTCTAGCATTTCTTAGTTGTTTGGATTTTTAATTTAAAAATTTTTTTTTTATTTTAGACTAAAATAATCTTAAAATTAAATTTACTATTATTTATTTTGCTGTTTTTTCAGGTTTTTTTTTATGTTTTATTTAAAATAATACACAGATATACATCTAGGCTAAATAATCTTAAAATTAAATTTACTATTATTTATTTTGCTGTTTTTTCAGACTTGCATGCCTGGTGTTAAACGTAACGCAGTTCACTTCTCACCAGTGCAATTTTACAATTAACTTAGTCGTATATCTGTGTATATCAATATCTCTTCATTATGATTATTTATGTTGACTATTCAGTTAATTTATTATTATTGACCAAATATCATGTATTTTATTAAGACAATGATGTAAGTGTCCATCCCTTTCATTGTCATTTTTATTCTTGAATAAATAAATAAATAAATACAAAAATCTTTAATTATTAATTTATTATTATTCTTATTTGTTTCCAAAAAACAGCTTTGTGGACGTTTAGTATTATTTTTATTATTTCTACATTTAATTAAAAATTGTTGTTTATTAGAGGAAGGTTCTGATTCTATTTTTATTTGACTATCTGTTAAATTCCCCCCTCCTCCTCCCCCGGAAGAAGAAGAATATCCATCTGTATTTTCATTAGAAAACATTAATAATGCTGTTGAATGCCTTTTATTATTTCCTCCCTCTTCATTTTCTTCATTTTTTCCTTTTCTTCTTTTTTTATTTCCACCCCCAACTTTCCGTGTATTAATTACTAAATTATCCACAATTTTTGATATTGATGATTGTTTATTTAAATTATTATTTAATTGTTTTCTCCATTGATTTCGCCTAGAAGAAGCACCAAAACCAAAAAGTTCAAGAAGACTATTTTTTGAAGAAGTCATTAAATTATTTGAATTTATTGGAGGTTCTACCTTTAAAAAAAGAGAGAAATGTTTAAACTTAAATTTAAAATAACCGAAGAACTTGCACTGCTACTTCCTACAGAAAGGCTTGTTCCTGAAGTTAAGGAATTTGAAAGACGAAGAAATTGTTGTTGTTGTTGTTCATCTGCACGTCTTTCCATTTTACGTCGATGATTAAAATTTGAATTATTTAAATCTAAAAATTGAAGATTTTTTCCTTATTTCCTCTTTATTTTTTTAACCTTTTTCACAGTTCTCCAATTCCCATTCATCATCAAATAATAATTCAGATTCAGCCAATTTTGGTTGATTATTTATTTGATTATTTAATGCAAAATTTTTACGGCAAAGTCCGGAAGAATCTGAGGAAAGATCGGCAGAATAAGCACTTACTGATAAACTATTTACACAACCAATCTTTTTTTAAAAAAATAAAAATAGGTATATTTAAATAAAGATATTGAAGCAGGGCTAACTAAGCTTTACCTTTCTTACTACTATATTTAATAACAAGTATCATTAAAAGTTAGATCAACTGTCACAATAATTAAGTTGGTTTATTTAACGAGGTAAAACTTTTATTTGAAGCTACAACACCTAGGGTACAAAGTTCTAACCATGACCATATTATATTTTGATAAAAAATCATTTTTTTACTTTATTTATTGGAGGTAAAGGACTAAGCTGTTCCTGTGCCCCTCTACTTCCACCACTTCCACTCATTGTTAAAAATCTTCCACCAATTGTGCCTTCTCCTCCTCCTCCTCCATTACAGTTATTAATTAATAACCTTTTTTGCCTTGAAAATAATTCACTAACTGCAGAAGAACAACTTGTTGAATTTCCGGAAGATTTCTTTAAAGAAAAATATTTTTGTTTATTTTCAAAAAAAACTTGTAATAAAGGAAAACAAAAACTGTTTGTTGCTTCTCCATCATTATTTGTTGTTTTTGTAGATAAATTATTTCCAACATTATTAAATAAACGTTTACTAGGTAAAGAACAAATAGCTGCTGTACATCCACTTTTAATTAAATAATTTGATAATAAATTATTTTTATTTTTATTTAAAATTTCTTTTTTATTTTCTTCTTCTCCTTCATCTCCTTCTCCATCTTCTTTATTTTTTAATTTATTTTTATTTTTTAAACGATGTTTTAAACGATTATTTTGTTTTTGTAATTTTGTTATTTCGCCAAGTAATGTACACAATGTTCCTTTAAAAATAATATTTTGGTATTTCCAGTGAAGATTTAGTTGGTTGTAATTTCGTTAGTATTATCTAATCACGTTAATTTTGGTGTCAATCGAACGAATTAGCTGTCATTGAGCTGCCCCCACAAATGATTTTTAAATTTTAGGGTGCTTGTATTTCCGATCATCGATAGTGATACTCGGCTTAGACCGACGAGACGAATCGGAAGATTGCGGGGATAATTTGAGGGCATACCAGAAAAGTACCCAATATTTTTTTAAATAATTTCAAAAACAAAACCGAGCATTACTGCTGGTTGTTGTTCCTCATTTTCTATTAATTTTTGTTTTTCATTAGAGGAATTTAAAGTTTGGTTATTATCTATATATAATAGTAACAAGGCACTCAGCTAAAAAAAAGTCCTCCGGAAGTTTGAGAGGTCGTAGAGGGGTGGGGTTTTTTTCTATAGGTGGGAAATTTAATGTAGTTTTCAGGAAAAATCCGAAAAGTTGGGGTCCAATGGAGAAAAAATTAGATATTTCGAAAAAACGTGTTTTTTCGAATCTTTGAAGTGAAATTTGAATATGAAGATGAAGTCGGGGAAAGTTGGGTCAGTTACAAGGTTGAAGCACCACAACATGGAGAATATGATAGAAAAAGAGTTGAAGTCGTTCTGACATCGGGGAGGGTAGATGTGCCTGTTGACAACTTTTTTGTCAAAGTGGTAACTTTGGATTTAAGGTATTTAGAGGGGTCTGATCAAAAAGTGGTTGGGAGAAAAGTTGTAGAGCGTGGTGGGTTTCATAAGAAAAAAGTTTGTTTCAACTTGATTGGAATAACAGAAAAAAAGATATGGACTAAAAATTAAAATTTTTAGGAGGTTGCATAAAAGTGACATTAACTATATTTTGTTTTGGAGTTAGAAGAAAAGTGTTGGGAGATGAAAGATAGAGAATTAAATTCTGCATCGAATAAGCTTTGTTTTATGTTAATTTAACTTTTTTGCACCGAGTTATGAATTTTTTTAAAAATTAAAATTTTGGGAAAAAATTTTTAAATTTGACGATCTAGACCGTCCGATCTGGAAAGTTAAGCAACGGTGAAGCGTTTTTTGTAACTTTTGAAGTAGTTATCGGAAAAATATGATTGAGGTGTCACTCGACGTGGAAAAATCAGGCGAATTTTTAAGATAATTTTTGAAAGGGTCACTTGAGTCTGAGGGTGGGATATTTGAGTCTGAAGGTTTAAATCAGTGGAAATTAAATTTAAAAATTATAAAAATTAAAGGGAATATTAGAAAATGAGTTTTTAAAAAAAAAGTGCACTTGAGTCTCATTTTTTAATATGAGTCTGGGACTGAAATTTTTATAAAAATGTTAAACTCTAATATTTTTTAAAAAATAACTTTAATTCGGAACGCGTTGCAGAAAACGCGTTGCCGGAGGCAACCGCCAGAATTAAAAATTATTTTAAAAATTCGGAACGCGTTGCAGAAAACGCGTTGCCGGAGGCAACCGCCAGACTTAAAAATTATATTTTAAAAAATCGGAACGCGTTGCAGATAACGCGTTGCCGGAGGCAACCGCCAGAATTAAAAATTATTTTTGAGAAGATACGGAACGCGTCGCTGAAATGCGTTGCCGGAGGCAACCGCCAGACTTTAAAATTATTTTTTTAAGAAATCGGAACTCGTTGCAGAAAACGCGTTGCTGGAGGCAACCGCCAGAATTAAAAATTATTTTTTGAGAAAATTGTAACGCGTTGCAGATAACGCGTTGCCGGAGGCAACCGCCAGAATTAAAAATTATTTTTGAGAAGATACGGAACGCGTCGCTGAAACGCGTTGCCGGAGGCAACCGCCGGAAATAAAAATATTTTTTTAAAAATTCGGAACGCGTTGCAGATAACGCGTTGCCGGAAGCAACCGCCGGAAATTAAAATTGTTTTTTAATTCGGAACGTATTGCAGATAATGCGTTGCCGGAGGCAACCGTCAGAAATTAAAAATTTTTTCTAATTTCGAACGCATTACAGAAAACATGCGGGCCGAAGGCCCGCATGTTTATTTATGACTAAAATTCAAAAGTTTATAACTTTTGAAGTATTAGATGTAGAAAGATGGTTGAGGTGTTATTCGACGGGGAATTGAATGAGGAGTTTAATGAAGATATTTTTAAAAGTGTCACTTGAGTCTGAGGGTTGGACATTTGAGTCTGAAGTTTTCACATAGTGGGAAATTGATCCAAATTAATTTAAATCAGTTGTAATAACGCTGGAGTCAGCATTAATACCCAAAAGCTATTAAAACTACTCAGCTATTCGCGCCGAACGCTGGTTATTTAATTTATTTAAATTTTCTTCTTCACATTCTGCTTGCATTTTCTCCTTTAAAATTAATTTTTTAATAAAAATTAATTTTTAAAAATACCAATTCTTTTAAAAATGCTTCTTCTTCAGCCTCATAACTTTAAATATTTAAATTAATTTTTAAACAAAAAAAATTTTTTTAATCTTAAGGAATGTATAGGTATGTATATTGCTTATTAACTCAAACATAAAATTCCCCCCAAAAAATATTTATTTTTTTAAAAAACCTAGCAATAATTGTTCGAATTGAACGACGTCTTTCAAGTTCTGCTTTTCTTTGTTGTTGTCCATCAGAAGAAGTTATTTTTGTATTTTTTGTATTATAATTACTAGCCATTTTAATATTTAATATTTAATATTTATTTATGCAGCAATCACAGGTACAAATAAAAGTACACTGACAGTGATTGTAAAAAAAACAAAATATGTATAAGTTGTGAATACAATAAATTTAAAAAAAAAATAAATTAAAAAAAAAATTAAGTATTGAATGTAAAAATGAATATTTTGTATATATATAAAAAAATTTTTTTTAAACACTAGGTACTAGACAGACTAAGTAAATCAATTCTTTTGGTATATTCCCTGAATTTTTTTAAATCTCTAATCTCAACAATTTCCCTGGGTAATTTGTTCCATAAGGAGACTATGCGAGCAAAGAAGTTATTTTTTGATTTGCTAGTGAATCTTTTATTTTGTAAAAGATGAATTCTTCTTTTGGCCCTTTTAGTTAGAGTAAAGTATTTTTCTTGTTCCAAATGTGTGAAATTATTAAGTATTTTATAAGTCATGCAAAGATCGGCAAGTACTCTTCTTTCCTCTAATTTTTTTAATTTACAAATTTGTAGTCTAATTTCATAAGGTTTATCAACTAATCCGCATTGTTTAAAGGCTTTTTTGGTAAAGATTTTTTGTATTTTTTCAAGCGAAATTAAGTGATCTTTTCTTAAGGGACTCCAAATTTCAGTCGCGTACTCTAAGAGAGGACGCAAATATGTTTTAAATACAAAAACTAAATTATCAAGATCCTTGGATTTAAATATTCTAAATATTTGATACATCATTGAATAGGCTTGTTTTGTAATTTTAGTTATATGTGCAGAAAAGGATAGATCTGTGTCTATTAATATTCCAAGATCGCGAACACAATTCTCTTTCTTGATTGGTTGTCCATCTATAAAATATTGTTGCTTATCATTATTCTTACCTATGTAGAGGCAGAGGCATTTATCTATAGAAATACTTAATCCATTATTCTTAGCCCATTTTTCAATAATTAAAAGAGATTCTATAAGCTTATTTCTATTGTTATCATTGTTATGTTCTACATACAGTTTAATATCATCAGCATATATTTTAACATTAACACCCTTAGGCAGATGTTCAGGTAAATCGTTAATAAATATTACAAATAACAAAGGGCCAAGTACACTACCTTGAGGAACACCAGAATGAATGGGATATTCTTCAGAAAAGTCTTGCTCAATTCGGACTTTGAACTGTCTATTGTTCAAAAAATTAGTTAAAAATTTGAGTATTTTTCCATTAATTCCAATATATTTAACTTTTTGTATCAATAGTTCAATCGGGACAGTGTCAAAGGCTTTTTTAAAGTCAATATATACTATATCAACTTTATTGCCTCTATCTACGCAAGAATAAATTTGGTTTAACATGGTAAGGAGTTGCGTTACAGTTGAACGCTGTTTAAGGAAGCCAAATTGTTCAATATTGAAAAAGTTTTTGTTATTAAGAAACTCAATAAGTTTATTTGCTAGTAATCTTTCGAAAGTTCTACAGAGAGTGCATGTAAGTGCGATGGGTCTATAATTGTCAGTTATAGTTTTATCACCTTTCTTAAATATCGGAATAACTATAGAATGTTTCCAGATTTCAGGTATTTCACCTTCGTCAAGAATTAATCTAAATAATTCAGTTACGATATGAGATAGTGTGAAAGCACATTTTTTTAATAATATATAAGGTACGGAGTCTGGTGAGGTACAGTTTTTATTGGGGAGTTTCCTAATAAGTTTGAAAATATCTAATATATTAAATTGAATATCTTCAATTTTATCATCAGATTTAGTAAAATTGGATCCTATAACTAGTTCTGAATTTTTCTTATTAAAGGCTTTCTGAAAGGTTATACCCATAGCATTACTTTTAGCTTTATCTGATAGACATATTTCTCCATTATTGTCGAAAAGTGTTGGTACTTGTATTACAGGCTTTAGTTTATTCTTAAAATACTTATAGACTGAGGATCTGCCTTTAGACACAATTTTCTTATCCTTTTCTGTGTAATAATCTCTAGTTATTTTTCTTAACTGTCTTGATATTATCTTATACTTAAGTTGGATTTCATTGTTATCCGGGTCCTTTTTTGATTCATTGAATAATTTAAGCTTGTTTCTTGATAAGTCAGTTATTCTTTTTGGATAATTTTCTTTTATGATATTATTTAAAGGTTTTAAAGGCATTGCAGAATCGAAAAAGTATAGAATAGTATCAGTGAAAGCATTGTATTTAGAATTAACGGTAAAGTAAAAAGAGAGTTCATCTGTCCATTTGTAATTTGCATATTTCTCATTTAAAATTGAGAAATTATTTTCAGTTAATTGCCTTTTGTAAACCTTTTTCTTATGCCTATTAAATGGTATTGAGGAATTTATATTAAAAGTTATCATATTATGGTCAGAATTTGAAAAGTTTTCAGTAATTTCAACATTGCTCAATAAATTGGATGGGGACGAGAATATTAAATCTAATGTGGATTTAAGTCTAGTAAATTCTGTAACGTGTTGTGTGGAATTTGTCTGAAACATAAAATCTAACAATAGCTTTCCTTTTTGGCAATTAAATGAATAATCAGCCCAGTTAATATTGGGTATGTTCATATCACCACATAAGATAAAATTATTCTCAATATTCTCATACAAAAATTTTAAAATCTTTTTTGTGTTCTCTAATGAACAATTTGGAGGACGGTATATCAGAAATATATTTATTTTTTTGGGTAAAAACAGGTTGATATTAATAAGTTCACACTGATATTTGGAACAAGATAAAATGGTTTTAAAAGGAATCTCTCTTGATATTAAAATGGCGCACCCACCCCCGCGCGTTTTTCTGTTGGCTAAAATAACATCATATCTGTTATTGATAGATAATTCTGTTTCAATATTTTTTGCCGCGTTAATCCACGTCTCATTTATAAAAATTATTTTAGGAGAGGTTTTTTCAACAAGGAAACTTAGATCTGAGATTTTATTCACAATAGATCTAGCATTTAAAAAAATACAGGGAATATTATTTAAAGTCAAATTAGGTTTATGAGTCGAGTTAGGTTTGTGATTGCTTAATTTTACCTATGCCTGTCTTGTACGAAGTGGTCTTGGATTGGACAATTCCATAATTTTTAAATCAACGACAATAAATTTATATAAATTAAGGTTTTTATTTAACTCATAAGCTTGTTTTCTTAGTGAATATAATAATTTGAGCTCAGGAGGAGACATATCTCTACGACAAAATGATTGTTGGGGATATTTTTGAGGATTGGATTTAACAACTTTACGAAATGTTTTTAAAAATTTGTCACGTGATTGTGAGGATTTAAAATGAATTTTATAAATTTTTGGTTTTAAAACATTTGCCTCACGTTTACCAGCATGTCGATGAATTTCTTTTTCATCCAACTCTTCTCCCAGACCACACTCATTCACAATTTCACGTAAAAGATTGTTGTCTCCATCAGATTCTGGAAATTTTTCAACCACTGCAGTTTTTGATTTACTAATTATGGTTTCTTGGTGTGAAGTGTTGTAATTTGAAATATCAATAAAATGTTGTAGTGGAGGTTCGAAATTATTGTTAGAAAAGGGGTGTGATCCCCAAGGTTGGCTGTTGTTTGTAGTTGTTGTGGTATTATTAAAATTTGGAATAATTTCTTGAATAATTGATCGAACAATTTGTTCGATAGTAGGCTTCAAAAATTCAACCACACACTTTGAAATACAAATAATTTGTTCTTGTGAAATTTGAGTTGAGTCAATACTAGACGAACTTTCAAACGACTTTGTAATTTTAGGTCGTTTGTTTGGTTTTTTCTTACTTTTTAATGGGAGCATTTTATTTACTTTTTATTGATTGATTTTTTTAGATGAAAAAAGGAGTAGGAATGAAAAAAGGAGTAGGAATGAAAAAAGGAGTAGGAATGAAAAAAGGAGTAGGAATGAAAAAAGGAGTAGGAATGAAAAAAGGAGTAGGAATGAAAAAAGGAGTAGGAATGAAAAAAGGAGTAGGAATGAAAAAAGGAGTAGGAATGAAAAAAGGAGTAGGAATGAAAAAAGGAGTAGGAATGAAAAAAGGAGTAGGAATGAAAAAAGGAGTAGGAATGAAAAAAGGAGTAGGAATGAAAAAAGGAGTAGGAATGAAAAAAGGAGTAGGAATGAAAAAAGGAGTAGGTCTCCATCATTATTTGTTGTTTTTGTAGATAAATTATTTCCAACATTATTAAATAAACGTTTACTAGGTAAAGAACAAATAGCTGCTGTACATCCACTTTTAATTAAATAATTTGATAATAAATTATTTTTATTTTTATTTAAAATTTCTTTTTTATTTTCTTCTTCTCCTTCATCTCCTTCTCCATCTTCTTTATTTTTTAATTTATTTTTATTTTTTAAACGATGTTTTAAACGATTATTTTGTTTTTGTAATTTTGTTATTTCGCCAAGTAATGTACACAATGTTCCTTTAAAAATAATATTTTGGTATTTCCAGTGAAGATTTAGTTGGTTGTAATTTCGTTAGTATTATCTAATCACGTTAATTTTGGTGTCAATCGAACGAATTAGCTGTCATTGAGCTGCCCCCACAAATGATTTTTAAATTTTAGGGTGCTTGTATTTCCGATCATCGATAGTGATACTCGGCTTAGACCGACGAGACGAATCGGAAGATTGCGGGGATAATTTGAGGGCATACCAGAAAAGTACCCAATATTTTTTTAAATAATTTCAAAAACAAAACCGAGCATTACTGCTGGTTGTTGTTCCTCATTTTCTATTAATTTTTGTTTTTCATTAGAGGAATTTAAAGTTTGGTTATTATTTAATTTATTTAAATTTTCTTCTTCACATTCTGCTTGCATTTTCTCCTTTAAAATTAATTTTTTAATAAAAATTAATTTTTAAAAATACCAATTCTTTTAAAAATGCTTCTTCTTCAGCCTCATAACTTTAAATATTTAAATTAATTTTTAAACAAAAAAAATTTTTTTAATCTTAAGGAATGTATAGGTATGTATATTGCTTATTAACTCAAACATAAAATTCCCCCCAAAAAATATTTATTTTTTTAAAAAACCTAGCAATAATTGTTCGAATTGAACGACGTCTTTCAAGTTCTGCTTTTCTTTGTTGTTGTCCATCAGAAGAAGTTATTTTTGTATTTTTTGTATTATAATTACTAGCCATTTTGTATATTTTAAATATTTATTGAATAAAATAAATGACCAAAATAATTATTTTTTCTCAAAACTTTCTTCAATAAAGCAACTGTTTAAAATCTTTTATTCTTTTAACTAAATCTTAAAAAGAATTTAAAGAAGATATTTATTTAGATTGTTGTGGTCAATAAATAAATAAATAAAAAATAACAAATGTTTAATGGTTATTTATTTGAAATATTTAAATTAAGATAGAATTTCCACAAATGTGTAAACAATTTTGACAAAATTTTAACAGAAATAAAGATTAAAATTATTATAATAAAAGTTTAAATAATTTAATTTTATCCTTCACATATGCAAATTTTTTCATTTCAAAAATATTTTAGAAAATTTTTTTACGAAAATATTTTAGTAATCTTTAAATAAAAATTTTTCAAAAATGCCAAAATTTGCAAAATTTCGGCAAAAATACTTAAAAACATGGAGACACCTTTGGCTAACTTTAATTAATTTTAATTAAAATATTTATTTTATGTCCGAAGATTACCCGAGCTTTGTCTAAGCCGACGGGCACCTGAATAACGTTTATACAAAAAAAAGCTAGGTATTTTTTTGCCTTTTATTTATACTCCGCCACACATTATTATAACACCATTACACAACAATTTTTGTTAAATTTTAGTTAAATTTTATTAATTTTTAAAAATAATTTTATTTTTATTCAATTATTATATACTTCACTTAATTTTAAATCCAAAAATTTTCTAAGAAAAACAAAATATCATCAGTTAATTAATGTTGAAATAAATATGTATATATTACTATCAATAAATTTAAATTACATAAATTAATTAATTGGTCGGGTGCTTTTCACATTTTTTTATTTTATTTGCTGATTACATTTTCCTAAATTTTATTCTTTTTTTAAAGCAAAAGGTGGCCCCATTCTTTTTTTATTTTTTTTTACATTTATTTACTCTATATTTATTTATTTTCTAATTTTTAAAGAAAATATTTTTAATTAAAATGTCTACTAACAAAGAAAAAGAATTTTCAATTGAAAAACAATTTTTGGCTGCAGATTTGGAGGATTCTTTAATTATACAAGAACAAACAAAATTAGTTGAGTTAATTTTAATTTTAAAATTTATTTTAAAAATAAAGGATAATTTTAAACCAAAAATTGTTTGGAGAAATGTTTTTTTATTTACAATTTTACATTTGGCTGCATTACAAGGATTTTGGCATTTTTTATTTAATGCAAATTGGTTAACTTTTATTTGGACTATTTTTCTTTGGATTTTTAGTGGTATGGGAATAACTGCTGGGGCACATCGTTTATGGGCACATCGAGTAAATTTAAAAGGAAAATTTATTATTAATTTCCCTCTCTTCTTTAAAAGTCATATAAAGCTCGTTTTCCTTTACGTTCATTATTAATGGTACTTAATTGTATTGCTTTTCAAAATGATATAATTGAATGGGCAAGAGACCATAGATGTCACCATAAATGGTCTGACACAAATGCTGATCCTCATAATGTTAATAGAGGATTGTTTTTTGCACATATGGGTTGGCTGTTAGTTAAAAAACATCCACAAGTTAAAGCTAAAGGGGCTGGACTTGATTTAAGTGATTTGTTTGGTGATCCAGTACTTCGATTTCAACGAAAGTAAAAAAATAAATAAATGGTACTTTTCCGTTATATACCCACAAATTCTCTGACTTTACTTTAGCCAGTGGCCGGTTCCAAAGTCGTTCGATTTATATATCTTTCGATTTGTATCGTCGGTCTAAGTCGAATTGTACCACACTCTTCGATTGGAAATGTCTGCAGCCCGAGATACAGGTCCCCGAAAGTTGAAAAATGATATGGGAGACCAGGATTATTATCGTCGAATATCTAGAGTCTAAACAAAATTACAACCAACAGAATTATTGCTGGTAAAAATTTGTTGGGCATATAACGGAAAAGTGCTAAATTAATTAATTAAAAATTAATTAATTATTTTTTAAAGATATTATCTTTTGTTGGTTTTTATATTTTGTTTTTTAATGCCGACAGTAATTCCCGTTTATTTTTGGGGAGAAAAGCCTTTAACAGCTTTCTTAACTGGGGCTGCATTTCGATATTGTTTTGCTTTACATGCTACTTGGCTTATAAATAGTGTTGCACACAAGTAAATTTATATTAAATAAAAATTAAAAAAATAATTTCTTTTAAAGATTTGGTTATAGACCTTATGATGTTAATATAAGCCCTGCAGAGTCTGTAAGTTTTAAATGAATTTATTGAGAAAATATTTTTGTGTTAAAAAAAGGTTTGGACAACAATATTAGCTGTTGGGGAAGGAGGACATAATTATCATCACACTTTCCCTCAAGATTACCGAACATCTGAAATGATGACTCCATTTAATTTAACTAAAGTAAAAAAAAATTAAAAATAAAAAATAAATTTAAACTAAACATTTTGAAGGCTTTTATTGACTTTTTTGCAATAATTGGACAGGCTTATGAACGTAAAGTAACACCTATTTCGAATATTTATCGCCAGATGGGTAGACAATTGGAACAGCTGCATAAGAGAGTTATGGATTCACATAAATCATTTTAAATTTTGAATAAATATTAAATTAACTATTTTTTTATTTTTAATTGTTTTTTAATTTTAATTTAAAGAAAAAATAAATTTAATTAAGAAAAATAATTATAAATTTTAAAATCCCAGGATATAGTTTCGATGCAAAACATATACAATTCGATTAGTCTCGACGAGCTCTTTTAAATGAGCTTACTCACCTCTATGGTTTTTCGATTTTCAGGGACTTATATCTCCGTCCACATTCATTCCTGGAAAAAATAATGTTACCGTTCGACTCAGCTCGTCGAGACGAATCGAATGGTATTTATTTTGTATCGAAACTACTTCCGGTATACTAAACTATAGCCAAATCCCAAAATTTTTGGCTCGAGTTTTTAAAAAAATTTAGAGTTCGGGCTTTTTTTGCAAAATTTTTGTATACTTTCGAGTATAAAAAATTAAATTGATGAACATAAAATAAATTTAAAAAATTTTTTAGTTATTTTAATTTAAGAAACTTTTAATAATTATCAAAAAATTTTTTTTTCTCTTTAATATCATTTTTTCAGTTTCAATTTTGTCGCGCTAAAACCGAGGAAAAAATAAATAAATGTTTTATTTGATTGAAGAAGGAGACAAAAATTTTATTTATTTTTTACTTCCTTTCCATCAGGCAAAAGCTTTCCTTTGGGAATTTATTTTTGAAAGTTTATATTTAAATAATCTAAATTGCGCAATCATTTAATAAAAAATTTATTTAAATTTTATTTTCAAATTTTAGAAAATTTTGTAGATATTCTAAAATATTTTTAAATAAAAAACAAGAAAAAATTTTGATTGTAATTCCCAAATTTACACAAAGTTTAGCAAAAAATATGTAAATATCACAAAATATGAGCCTGCAAATATGCAATCAAAACTTTAAAAACATTATGTTTGTATTTCTATCTTCAATGACAAAAATTTTTATTTGACTGTTTTGTGAGGGGCCCTCTTAATTATTATTTGAACAGTCAATCACTTATTATCACACAAAATTATATTAAAAACAAATAAAAGTAATTAAATATCAATTTTTAAAGCTAATAAATAAATATAAAACTAACCAAAACATTTTTATATATTTATTTATTTGCACATATTTAAGAATTAAAACCAGCCAATCGCTTTCTCTTTTTCACATTTTTATTATTTTCTACCAACCACCACATGTCCTAAAGAAAGAAAGAAATCAAGTAAGTAATGGTCAGTCACACAATTATTTATTTATTATATAATATTTAATCAACAATTTAGAGTTTATTAATCAAAAATGAAAATTCAGAATTCAAAACCTTTTTCTGTTTTAAATTGTTTAATTGTCTAAGTCCAAATCAAAAGTGTTAAATTAATATAAAAATAAATCTTTTATTTTTTCTGGAGGAGTCGGGGAGGGGATGTTGTATTTTATCAAATAAATTTCATATAATTATATATTTTTTTAATTTTCCAAAGTGTGTGTTCACAATTTTTAATTTTATTTTAATCCAACTGTGATTTTTAATTTTAAAGTTATTTAACCTTCAGAAAATTGTTTTTCCAAAATTAATAAATAAAAAGTTTTTTTTCAGTTTTTAATTAAAAATATTTTCTTTTTTTTTTAAATTCTAAAAAATATTTAAAATATTCTCTTTCAAAAATTTATTATTAAAAAAATATTTAATATTTTTTAAATAAATGACCAATCGTTGTTGTTGATTATTTATATTTCTTTTTTTAATCTGGATTTTAAAAAATAAAATAATTTTTTTTTATATTTTAATTAAAAATAAATTTATTTTTTTTCTTCAATTTTTAAAAATTAATTTTAAAAAATATTTTCTTTCAAGGACTTTAATTTTTATCGAAAACTCTTCAAAAAATAAAACAAAAAAAAACAAAAAAAAATATAAAAATTCTTTTTGGCCTTTACTGAAACAATTTGTAAGAAATTATTTTTATTTTATTTTGCATGTATTTCCTCCTTTTTTAAGATAAAATATTTTTTCTTGTATATTCTTATGCAAATATTTTTGATTTATTTTTTTTTACATTTAAAAAAACCCCAAATATTTTTTTGGAATTATTTCCTCATCAAAATTAAATATATTTATTTTTATTTTATTAAATTTTTTTAATAAAAGTATTTTGCCCTTGGGATTTCATATAAATTTTTGTTTTTATTTATTTGTTACACTGGTCAATAACCAAAAACTTGGAATTTTCTTTAAAAGAAAAAAAAAGAAAAGAATTCCCCGCAAATTTTTAGTAAAATAAATTAATTTTGTGGCGCCTCAATTTATCTTCTTTTTCACAAATATTCTTCTTTTCTTTATTAAAAATATTTTTTGTGAAACTTTTATCGCCTTTTTTCTTATTTTTGTAGGAAATATTTTTAAAAAATTAATTTAATTTAAAGTTTTTTATTAAATAAATAAATATCTAAATATCCTTTTCCAAATTATTTACATATTTATTCTTTCTTTTTTTTCTTTTATTCTTTTTTAGAAAATAAAAAGATAAAGAGAATAAAAGGCGGCGGTTATATTCTCTTTCTTTTGACCTTAACCCATAAGGTCATTCACAAATAATTTATTTATTTTATAATAAAAGATTAAAAGAAGTAAAAAAATAGGAACTATGTATGTATATTGAATATTTTATTTTTATTTTTTATTTCGGCCCCGATAAATGAGGTAAATGAGAAAGGAAGTAAAGGGAAATCAGAAATGTAGAAATCACGTCAGGGAACTCTCGAAAGTCTGGAAATTGAATAAAATATCAGCCGTATTTACTCTCCTCGAACATTTAGATTCCCCTTCTCTAAATTTTGTTAAATTTTCTTTTTTTTCTAAAGTTTTTATTTAAAAAATAAATGAATTTAAATTTAAATAAAAAAGAAAACCAACAAATAATTAAAAACAACGATAAAAATTTAAATTTTAGAAAATTTAATCGACACAGAAAAAATAAAATTTTGGTGGAAAGTAGTGAGGATGATGATGATTCTGGTGATTTTTTTTGTGAAAATAAATAAATATTTATTTAAAAGGTTGTGCAATAGATTATTATTATTCTTGGATAACTTTAAAAACAAAAAATGTAAAATTATAATTAATTATTTAAATTTATTTTAATTTATTTAAAGATTACCAATTCTTCTTCATTAAATTTAAATAAAATAATTAAATACCAATTACCTTTACAAGATTTTTCTAAAAATTTTTGTTTAAATATTAAAAATAAAAAAGAATATAGCGAATTTAAAGAATTTATTGTTAAAAGAAAACAAAATTATTTTGGACAGGGAAGTCCTAAAAAAATTGTTGGAGAAAAAATATATTGTAGACAGGTAATGAAAATAAATATATGTAAATATTATAAAAACATTTTTTTCCTTTTTTCAATAATCTTTGTTTTTAATTAATTTTTAAAATTAGTTTCTATATTAATTAAGTCTCCAGTTATTTTTGGATATCTTTTTAATTAAAATAAATTTAGAAAAAATATTTTTAAATTTAGTGTAAATCCCCAATAGAATCAAAAACCTTAGCAATTACAGCAATTACCCATTTTGGAGTATATGCCCATTGGCATCCAAATTGTTTTGTTTGTGTTGAATGTAAAGAATTATTGGTTAATTTAATTTATTTTGCACATCAAGACAAGTTTTTAAATAAATTAAAAATAATTTAATATTTTTTAAAGTATTTTTTGTGGTCGTCACCATGCAGAATTAACCAAACCTCGATGTGCTAGTTGTGATGAAGTAATTATTTTTTATAAAATTTTTGTAGGAAAAATTTAAAAAGAAAAATGATTTTTTTATTTAAATTTTTTAGTTAATATTTGGCGAGGAATGTACGGAAGCTGAAGGAAAAACTTGGCATTTAAATCATTTTTGTTGTATAAAATGTAATCAACCATTGGCTGGTTGTCAATATGTGGTTAATAATTAAATATAAAAATTTAAAAAAAAAAATTATTTTTTTAAAAAGATGAAAATTTTAAAAGAAAATAAAAAAGAATTTCCTTTTTGTTTGGATTGCTGTCAAAATAATTCTTCTTCTTCAAATAATTATTGTGCAACTTGTTTTGTTAAAATTCCTTGTGATTATCCACATATTGTTGCTAAAGTTTATTTCTTTAATTTTATTTTTTCCCTAAATTTTTTTTAAATTTAGAACGAAAACTCTTTTAAATGGCATATAAATTCTAATTGTTTTTGTTGTTCTGTTTGTAAAGTAATTAATAATTATTTTAAAATATATTTTAAAATATAATTGGTAAATGTCCGGCTTGCTGTCCACATGTTCACAAAAGGAAATTTGGATTTATTTTCCCTCATAAAAATACCCCAAAAATTCAGAACCCGTCCACTTTTTTGACATAATCACCTTAAATTCTCGTACTTAAATATTATTTGCGTCAGACTGCCACCGAACATTTGGTTGCGAACATGTGGACAGCGAGCTGGACATTTGCCTTATTTATTTATTTATTTATTTATTTATAGAGATCTTTAATTGGATTGCCTTATTCATTAATTAATAACCAATTATTTTGTAATTATTGTGAAAAAAGACAAAATTATCTAATAAATTTAAACAATTCCCCCACTTCCCCTCCTCCTTCTCCTCTTCCTTCATTATCTTCTTCTTCCATAATTTCCTCTTCTTTTTCTCCTTCTTCAACAAAATCAGAATTTAACGAAAATTTATTTAAAAATTATCAAAAAAATGTCTCAACAGCAAAAACAATTAATTGGAAACAAAAGCCCCCTCCTTCCTTTTCCCCTCCTCCTCCTCTTCCAATAAATGGCCCCCCTCCTTTACCTCCATCATTTATTAAACGTTCATCATCCTCAGAAAATTTCTATGAGACTGTAGCTCCTTCAATGCCTAAAAGAAAAATAAATTTTGAGAAAATATTTGGAACAAATAAAAGTACTTCAAGTAGTTTTAAAAGTGAAGAATATTCAAATAATGGTGAATTAGGTAAAAGATAATAAATAAACATTTTTTTCCCTTATATTTTTAAGATTCACCTTGTTCATCATTTTCTGTCAATATTAAAAAAACATTAAATAATGGGGAAAATTCTAAAAGTAAATATTTAAAAAAAATTTTTTTTAAATAAGGAAAAATTTTAGGCAAAATTCCAAGAAAAACATTTTCAAAGCAGAGAAGTAAAAGTATGGATGGTTATCAAAGAAAAAAAGATTGTGGATTTATTAAAGAAATTAATGAAAATAATGAAGTAAATATAAATAAAAATAATTATTTTTTATTAAAAAATTACTATTTAGAAATATTCACCATCTTCCAATCAAACCACCAGCCCTTCTTGTACATTACAAATTAACAATAATTATTTACATCAACTACCAACTACAAGCAGAACTCAAAAGTTATTTTTTTCTACATAAATTTAAAAAAAATATTTTTTTAAAGAAATTCTTCTTTAATTTTCTCCTCTGAAAGCGAAATAACGGATAATGATGAAGAAGATAAAAACAATTTATTAAGTTCTGAAAGTGATGTTGATGATGAACTATTTTTATCTGCAAATGCTCGATTCCTTCATAATTATTTTGCCATTGCTAAATTAGAATTAATAAGAAAAAACAAATTAACTATTCCTGTAAATAATTTGTCAGTTTTGACAAAAAATAGAGACGAATCAAAAAAACATAAACAAAATTGTCATATTTCTTAATTTGTAAAATGTGTTTATAAGCATGTTATCCGCATAAATTTGTTCGTTAATAACACACAAATACCGGGATATTGTGTATTTTTTAATTATTATTAAAAGTTTTTTTAATTATTTTGAGAGAAACAAGAGAAAAAGTATTATCTTCTGAAAATCACCATTTTACAATTTATTTTTAAAAGTTTTTACATTAGCGTTGACGAACTGAAACAATTTAAGTCTGGCACATTTTATTGACGGACTAATCATTGACGAAAGTCATTGACGAACTGGTTTTGACGAATATATCATTGACGAACTCATTATTGACGAACTAATATTTAGGGTTAGAAAAGTTTCAAAGCGATAAATACAGTGCCCTAATGGTGTACGGTAATGCCGTTACAGTCTAGGCCAATTCAGTCTGGGGCTCTTTTTTAGCATGTCTTTCTCATTTTTCATTCTAAATAATTTTTACAACTTTGTTGGTTTAATTCTGCAAATTATTTTTTACGTGAAAAGTGTGATCAGACGATCTATAGTCGGATAAGGATAAAATTCACGTTTGTTCGGGGTTTAAAAAATGATCGTATCTGATCAGTCTTTTTTAAACTTTTGTCTCATTAATTATCCACATATTTTAGCAGATTGTTTCTTAGATACAATTGCAATTTGCTAATGGAGTCAGAGCTTAATAATATTGGTGAGGATATTCTTGAAGGAGAAGATATGTTAAACCTTGAAGATCTCGACGAGAAAGAGGTTTTGGGCGACGATGATGATGAGAAAATTACTCTGTATGATATTTTTATTTTTAGAATTTTAATTAAAAGTTCCAAACTTTTTAGCAAAAAGGAATCGGAAGGTGATGATCTGTATGATGCTGCGATTGAGCCATCTGGTCCAGTTAATGAAAAGAGAGAATCTACCGAAGATCACTTGCAAAATTCTGTATCTAGGAAGCATTCCGTTGTGGTGAAAGCCGAGCCAGCTGCCACGCAACAAGCGGCAGGCAAGCGTTATTGTTGTTATATTGGAAACATGACATGGTGGACAACTGATGTAGAACTTGAGGTTTATTTTCACATTGATTAAATTTGATTTTAACTGGTGATCTCTAAACTTGTTTATTTGGCTTAATTTAAAATTTAATTCTTGTACTGCATCCCTGACTCTCGTATTAACATTAGGCCTAGTAGTCAAATTATAAGATAAGGTATACTTTTCTTTCTCTCGATACATATCTCCTCTGCTAGATTCCATTATTTGCATTATACTGGTGTGAATTCATTAATGATGTGTACTTATTTGTTAAAATATGCACCTAAACCATTGAAATTTCATATTTCCAAATTTTCAGAAAATTGTCCAGACCTTTGGTATCGATGATTTGATTGATATTAAATTCTACGAGAATCGCAACAATGGTCAAAGCAAAGGTTTTGCACTTGCTGTTTTTGGAAGTGAGCCGTCCGTCAAAACTCTTATGGAGAAATTGCCAAACAAACAAGTGCACGAGCAGAATCTCGTCGTCTTGCCTTATACTAAACAATCATTGGCTAAGTTAGAAGAAGCAACTAAACGTTATGACCAGGTATGTGTATTTATGTTAGTTTTATACGCTGCGTTTATTTTTCAGAAGAGTGGTGATCGAGAGCGTAGTCGTGACAACCCTGTAAAGGAAGAAAAGATTGTGAATATTGGCACAATTCGTATTGGCACTAACGGGGCCCCTGTGCCGCAACTTATGTCTTCTATTAATTTGGCTCATTTGGCGAGACCTGTTGTTCCGCAACCACCACACTCTCAGCCAACTAGTCTTCTAAGCTTGAATTTTAATGCTCCACCAGTTCCTACCTCCGTAACAACAGTTAATGTGCCTCCACCAGTTGGCTTTCCTCATAATGTGCGCCCACAACAAGCTGCTTCAGTTGGTCTTATGTCTAATGTTTCTACTGGTTCTGTTATGCCATCAGGTACGCCTAATCCAATGAACAATACAACTGCTGTAATAGTTCAACAACAGCACCCGCAACAACAGCAACAACAAATTGCAGCTATGGCCGTTGCTGCCCACCATCAACAACAGGCAGCTGCTGCGGCTCTTTTAATGCAACAACAACAACAGGCGGCAGCTGTTGCTGCAGCTAACCAACAACGCCAGAATTTAGCGGCGGCGGCGGCCTCAGCTCCACCTCCCATTGGTGGTATTGTCCATCACCAGCCACCTCTAACTAACACTTCCCAACAACAAGCCCTTCAACAAGCAATGAGTCGACCTCCCCCGTCTTTTTCTACATTAGGCTAGTCCTTTTAGGAATCCTAATAATAATTAAATTTATCCAAAATATTTTTATTTTTCACACTTAAGGTGTTAACACTGCAGCTCCACCACCCATGACAATGACTTCAGCAGGTGTAATGGCTGTGTCTAACCAACAAATGTTACAACAACAACAGCAGCAACCGCAACATCGTGTACAATATAGACCGCCTGATATCAGTCAAGTATCAGCTGGTGTTGGAATGCAATCTGTTCAGCCTCAACCTGGATTTCCATCAGGTGCACACATCAATCCGCAAGTTTATCCTAATTTTGGTGGGTGTAATACATTTTTACTTTCATAAATTTTTGTTAGAATAAAGCAATTTTTGCAATTAAAATTAGAAATCTTACTTTAGCTCATGGTGCCGCTGGAGTTTATGGTCATCCAGAAAATGGATCAATGATGTCGGAGGTGGAATTTCAAGAGATCATGACTCGTAACCAAGTGGGCATTATCAGCCAAATTTTTGAATAATTATTTTTAGACAGTTTCTTCTTCTGCTATACATCGAGCCGTAAGTGATGCTGCTGGTGGAGATTACGCGTCTGCTATTGAAACATTGGTAACTGCTATTTCTCTAATTCGTCAGTCACGTGTGGCACACGATGATCGCTGCAAGCTGTTGATTAACACACTTCAGGTTAATTTACATTTTTGAAAATTCAGAAACCTTATTAACTTTTTTATTTGGTACTTGTGGGTTATTCCAAACCAGTACCTTTTTTAGTACTCCCACAAGTATTTTTTTGAGTGAATGTTTTAATTAGATTTACTCAAAAAAATTTTTTTATCACTTTCTCATTGTTCTTATTACAGTTCTAAAGTTAGTTAACAATAAGCTTCTTTGTCTGTTTAAATTTATTATTTAACTGGTCTGGATTTTTATGCAAATGCTTATTTTTGCCTACTTGTAATAGAAACGTGCAAATTTTTTTAAATGATATTATTTTCGCCTGCGACACTCAAAATTTAATTTTTTTGATCCAGAAAGTAAGTCTGATTACGAGCTTGTAAAGGGTACGAAAAATTACGAGCAACATCAAAATTTTCGAACAGCTGTTTCGAAATTTTGATCTTTGATTTAGACTTTTGTTTTTTACTTTCGAAATGGTTAAAAAAATTTTTGCTGAAATTATATAAGAATTCTTTTCTTGGCGTTTCAAAATTGCTTAACCTTTGCTTGCGTCGCTGAAATGGTGATTTTTGTTACGTTAAAATCCAAGCTCTACTGATTAATATTTAGATGACTTTGGCCCAAATTT